TGATATTTTATACTTATCCTGACTCATGAGGTTAGCCCTCCCATCCTCCCCACATAACACTTTGGATTTCCCTGTAAATTCAAGTGTTGGGCTCGCTAAATCAGGAGAGAGTGGAGCACACATGGCCAGAGGGTGGCGACACCTTTCCCGCCAGGGGAAACAAAGGGGAGCAACTTCGTGGTGAGTACCAATTAGTATAAAATATCAATTTTACTCTAAAAATTACATTTTTCTAAGGAACCAAGTCAGATCACTTAGGCTATACACCTCAGTTGCATTGTGAAGACCAATTCTACCACACAACTACCTCAGGACATCTAATTTTCGGGTGCACACACCAACAACATAAGACAGCCATGACATATTACCTTCGCACATGGTACATATTCCTACCTGTGTACTAAATGGGAAAAGACAGGCTAACATGGGCTTATGAAAAGTTTGCTCCAGTTTTCTGTACCACTACTACCAGTTTATTTATTCACTGCAAACAATTTTTGAAACTTATCCTATCTCACAGAATATACTCTCTCTCTTGTAATCGACTGTTGAATGGAAACAAACTGTAAACAAAGTGTCTTTTGAACCCTTCGCCCGAACACACACCACTGCTCCCATTCACGGACAGCCTGGTAGCCTCCTGAGAAGCATGCAGCATTCTGCCTGGATGGTCATGTGACTCCACTGTCTAGTCATTCTCTTTCTTATCACACTAGCGCCCTGTCCTCATGTTCGTGTAATTATTCATGAAAACCTAAAATCTTTTTTGAACATCTGAAAACCCATAATACAAGGATGTGTACTATGAACAGGTTTTTTTTATTGAGATCCACACTGAATTTCGCAAGTTTCAAGATTGTTTGCAGCTGGTAAAGCATTGTACCATGTGCTTATCAGCTGATTTATGTTTTGATTACCAATGATTGGTCGTTTTATTTAGGTCAATAACGTTCTTCAATTTCATTGGCCCAGTGAGTTATGACACATCATATGGTGATGGAAAAGTAACGATTTCCATAGCTTGATTGTTTGTGCAGGTATTTTCATTTCAATTACGAATTCTTTCAAAAGTTAGTGTTTGAACAGTTTGTATTTCGTGAATACTGTTGACTACGGTAACCTTCACAACAACAGGGGGATTCAACGGCAAGGAAAAGTAAAGTTTGCGTTGACTGCAAGAAGACTTTCTACATTTAGTAAGAAAGCCTGCACACATCCTGCATAAACTTCTGTGGTCTTTGCGGTTGAAGAATAGAAGAGGAAGATCAGGTGCAGCCTATGCACCATGTTAAACAACAACAGCTCTCTAATTATATAGAAGAATTAGGCTCTACTTGCGCTAAGAGTAGAGATGACTATGTCATCCTGTGGATGCCTCCAGTGATTCGCCGATCACTACAGTACCAAACCCACCACTCAGCAAACCCTGGTGATTCATCGTACCAGCTAGATTCAGCGATCCCTCGTGCATCGGCGATCGCTCCGGTTGTGACCAGGCATCAGACTTCGACTTGTTCGGCAATCGTTCGGTGAACCCATACACGAACCAGACACCCTTGGTTGTTCTGAATTCGACTGCACCATTGTCCAGAGTTCCAACCTACGTTCAACATGCGCGTTAGACTTCTCGAGATGTTCGGCAATCTCTTCTACTTTGTCAATCCCTCGGCAATCGGTGAACCAACCTCATAGAACGACCACACATATATCAGATTTACTACTTCTAGATATGCCATCAAATTATTCTTAAGTGTGAATTTGGATGCATCGAGTGGATTGCAGATCCCCCGAGTGGCTCGATGTGGAGTACCCACATTCATTGGTATTACAAGATGCGGTGGTTCCTCAAAATTTGACGATCCCCTTGAATTGAATGATTCGTAGAACTTGATCCTACAACTTTTTATGATCACTAAGTTTCGCTGATCACATTCATTGAACAATCAAGGAAACCCCAAAGGGCTCTTCCTTACTTTGGAACCTTCAACAGCCCGCCGCATTTCGACGATCTCTCTTTTTTATTGGCGATATCTCATGAATCGGCTATCTCTCAGGACATCTCCAGACATTCGGCGAACCTATTGAAAATCGGTGAATTCCTCGCTCTCAATTCAGCCATCCTTGACGATTATGACCCAGTTCTCGCCTGCACCACCAACCAGCGATCACGACTTATCTTTGGAAAAGCGACTGTTCACCGATCCATGTTCCACGAATCACTTTGTCTCGGCTATTGCATCTCAGCTTTCGAAGTTGACTTTCGGTTCGGTGAACCTGTCTGCTTTGGTGATCCTGCTCATCTGCACTTACTCGCCATTTCTGGTGTCACCCGCTGTGATATTGCTGGAATATTCCTAAAAGCGGCCTAAAACTAAACTCACTCACTTTCTTATTTAAAGGTCACATGCAACGTAAAACACAACTTTGCAGATTCTGATACCTTTCGGTATGGACTTACTGAAACAAAGCGTCAAAAATGCAAATTCAACTTATAAAGTTGAAAAATAACGCGATGAAAAAAACCGCGCGTAATCGGAGTTCAAACGTTTCACTAATTTTCCCCAGACTTTCTGGGGAATACGGAGTTTCAACAGCTGGGCTGCGCTCATAGCATGTCGCCCAGTGAATATGGAAGTGCAGCGCAACTTGGAGGCGGGCTGTCTGGTGAATACTTCGGTGAAGGCTTTGGTGTGAGCTATTTTTTCATAATGTTTTGTTGATATCTCACAAGTAGCGAGCTTTTATATGTTATGACAGTAAATAAACTGTTTATATAATTTCATTTGTCTATTTCACCACACGTTCTTGCGAGTCACTTTCTCAGTTCGATGCTTAAAAGCAATGTCATTATTTAGCTTTGACACAATTTCTAACTGTGATATAGATATGTCGCTGTCACAGACAAAACTCAATGTCTTGTTTTATTGACACCTGTGTGTCTGCCTGCCTGTCTGCTAATGACAATATTCAATACACAACTCACGATCACTGACCACATGCAATTTGAACTTAACACCAATCAGGCTATACACCATAAACAAAATGCATTGATTTATGGCCCGAGTTAGGTCTCTGTCACATTATGTAATTACACAGACAGGCAGGTGTGATACTTGAACACATGACATGTTATGATGTCTGTTGATTGCAAAATGTTATACACAAAAAATGAGCATGTATTTACAAAACCCAACATCTCTATACACTGTATATACACACACAATCAGCCGTGAAGGCGGCATCTGCTAATGAACCAGCTGTTACACTTGAGTGCACACCCACCCGCTCTGACTGGGTTCGGTATCCCGGCTGCTTCGTTTCGAGGGAGGTAAACCCAAGTACAAAATATTGCACTTTTGATTTGCGATTATACGCTTATAATTTTGTTTATTTGTTTTTTCATAATCAGAAATACATATTATATGTCATGAAGAAGTGATAATTGTGTTTTAATTATGTTTGATTTTTTGGTTGCATGTGACCTTTAAGTAACTACCATCAAATATCATGGAAGTCAACCTGATAATGCACCAGTGACGTCATACAGGGAGTTGAATGGAGGCACATCGTTAGTTCTTGAGAACTCGCTAGAGGACCACGCTGGCTCACTGCATTATCACATGGGAATTTCGTGTGTGTGATGTTTGGGCTGCATACTTGACAGAATGAAGTGCCTGCACACGGGATCTATAACATCAACAAGGGATTACTACATTCTATGAAATAACGAAGAGAGCAATGAAGCGCTGAGCCAGCGTGAAAATGGCTCCATATGCGCAGTTCTTACTACCATCGGCATCCATCAGTACATTCAGTGGTGGCTCGACAAAGCAACTTTTGTGGATGAGTTCCATTCTACATTTGTTCATGAGGTTCGATGATCCCCGTGCGCCGATCCTTTTACTTCCGTTGCTCCATCAGTACATTCAGTGTATCTAACCAATCGAGAAATTCCGACCTCTGGCTTGGGACCTCTCCATCATCATTCGACACCTCGTCTCCAACGACTACGAACCTCTAGAAGAGAAGAACTTTGAGCGCATCACATTTAAGACCTTCCTGGTAGCTCTTGATACTGCTGCACGTATGTCGGAACTCCATGCTCTGGACATAAGTCGAGTACGTTTCGAGAGGAAGAGGCATGGCAAAGTTTTTCTGGGTCTCCTATGGGACTTCATAATGAAGAAGCTGCTGCCAGGACCACCAGATAGACTTTTTACCATATCACGGATGTGATGACATCCAAGACATCACGCTCTTTCCCATCAGGGTGCTGAAGATCTACGCTGCTGCATCACAAGACCGTTGTCGGTTGTGAAAACACCTATTTAACCATTCTCTACAGCCTCATCAGTGGAAGTCTCCCATACCGCGCTAGCCTTCTGGATGCGGTCTACCCTCCTGCAAGCCTACATGTTTGCCTCCTGAGACTTAGCATCAGTGATGGCTCTTCACAACAACTGTTCACTGAGATCTATTATGGACAAACCCCCACTTCACAGATCAAGACAATTACTCCAAGAACGACTAGACAGAGGAGTCACATGACCAACCAAAGGTCGTGCTGCTAGCTTCTCAGAAGGCTACCAGGCTGTCCAGGAACGGGAGCACTGGTGTGTGTGTCGGGCGAAGGGTTCAAGAGCGACCTGAAACTTTGTTTAATGTTCGTTTCCACTCAATGGTCCATTATGAGAGAGAGAGTACACTACATGAGATAGGATAAGTATTATAAATATACAATTTATAGCTAAAATTTTCAATTTTTATCAGAATTTCTTACATTTTGGTGTTGTAAAGGTGTAACTTTCACATGGTCTGTCAAAGACATTGTTGTAGATCCACACTGAATGTCCCCAGTATTTATCTTGTTCATGCATTAACAGAGTGAGAAGGTGAGTTACATGTGAGAAGTTTACACATTGTTTTAAGTATATAGCTAGCAGTGCAATGGTCGGGCCGTTGTGCCTCATATATGTGATGCCTTACTGATGATGTTGCAGCGGGAGTCAGAGAAAGTTGAAGAACTGAAGTCCCGCTTGCAGTATCTTGCTGACAGAGAGAAGACTGCTCGAGAAGAGCTGCAGGAGCTGCGCCGAGACTCGGAGTGCAGAGACTACAACAGGTAGGGGAGCTGAGGGCGGCAGCTGCAGAGGAGAAGCAGCTGGCTCTACAGAAGGACAAGCTGCAGCTGGAGGAAGATCTACAACAGGTAGAGGGGTGTATTGGTAGATGGAGGAAGATCTACAACAGGTAGAGGGTGTATTGGTAGATGGAGGAAGATCTACAACAGGTAGGGGGTGTATTGGTAGATGGAGGAAGATCTACAACAGGTAGTAGAGGGGTGTATTGGTAGATGGAGGAAGATTTACAACAGGTAGAGGGTGTGTAGATGGTAGATGGAGGAAGATCTACAACAGGTAGAGGGTGTATTGGTAGATGGAGGAAGATATGTGGTAGTAGATGGAGGAAGATCTACAACAGGTAGAGGGTGTATTGGTAGATGGGGGAAGATCTACAACAGGTAGAGGGTGTATTGGTAGATGGAGGAAGATCTACAACAGGTAGAGGGTGTATTGGTAGATGGAGGAAGATCTACAACAGATAGAGGGTGTATTGGTAGATGGGGAAGATCTACAACAGATAGAGGGTGTATTGGTAGATGGGGAAGATCTACAACAGGTAGAGGGTGTATTGGTAGATGGAGGAAGATCTACAACAGGTAGAGATGGGTGTGTATTGGTAGATGGGGGAAGATCTACAACAGGTAGAGGGTGTATTGGTAGATGGGGGAAGTACAACAGGTGGGGTGTATTGGTAGATGGGGAAGATCTACAACAGGTAGAGGGGTGTATTGGTAGATGGGGGAAGATCTACAACAGGTAGAGGGTGTATTGGTAGATGGAGGAAGATCTACAACAGATAGAGGGTGTATTGGTAGATGGAGGAAGATCTACAACAGATAGAGGGTGTATTGGTAGATGGGGGAAGATCTACAAGAGGTAGATGGGGAAAGATCTACAACAGGTAGGGGTGTATTGGTAGATGGGGAAAGATCTACAAGAGGTAGATTGGGGAAATCTACAAGAGGTAGATGGGGGAAGATCTACAATCTACAGGAGGTAGATGGGGAAGATCTACAAGAGGTAGATGGGGGGAAATTCACAAGAGGTAGATGGGGAAATCTACAAGGGGTGGGGTAATCTGAAGGAGGTGGGTGGGGTGTGAATATTGTAAATTGTTCAAATTGTGTTCCTTTAATATCATCTGTCCATTTGCAGGCCAATGAGCAATCATGGGAGAAGATTACGGAGCTGAGGAACCAGTCCATGAGGACTCAGATGGAACTCCAGATCTGTCAGACAGAACTGGAGGAGACCAAGGCACAACTCAAGCTGCAGCTCAAGTAGGTTGTTGCCATGATAGGTACAGTTGTGGATTCTAGATCATCAGGGAGGGAAGTGGAGTGCCGGTTAGGCTCCTCAGGTCTAAGGCTAGATTCCCTTCATGGATGAAAGGTGTGAGGAGTGTCTACCAGTCGTAATAGTATTGCAGTATTGCTGCAGAGAGTGGTGAACTACCGGATTCATTTGCCTGGATGGTTTTTAGGGTAATGCATGTATAATGCTTCTTGAAATCTTGTAGAAAGAGCAATGGTAGTAGTCTTATACTGAAAGGTACTTCTTGTCAACCTCTTTACATGATGGGGAAACATGTCAACATCTTAACTTGATGGGCTAACATGTCAACCTCTTGACATGATGGGGAAACATGTCAACATCTTGTCATGATGGGGAAACATGTCAACCTCTTGACATGATGGGGAAACATGTCAACATCTTGCCATGATGGGGAAACATGTCAACATCTTGTCATGATGGGGAAACATGTCAACCTCTTGTCATGATGGGGAAACATGTCAACCTCTTGACATGATGGGGAAACATGTCAACATCTTGTCATGATGGGGAAACATGTCAACATCTTGACATGATGGGGAAACATGTCAACCTCTTGACATGATGGGGAAACATGTTAACCTCTTGACATGATAGGGAAACATGTTAACCTCTTGTCATGATGGGGAAAGATGTCAACATCTTGCCATGATGGGGAAACATGTCAACCTCTTGACATGATGGGGAAACATGTCAACCTCTTGACATGATGGGGAAACATGTCAACCTCTTGACATGATGGGGAAACATGTCAACCTCTTGTCATGATGGGGAAACATGTCAACCTCTTGACATGATGGGGAAACATGTCAACCTCTTGACATGATGGGGAAACATGTCAACCTCTTGTCATGATGGGGAAACATGTCAACCTCTTGACATGATGGGGAAAGATGTCAACCTCTTGACATGATGGGGAAACATGTCAACCTCTTGTCATGATGGGGAAACATGTCAACCTCTTGTCATGATGGGGAAACATGTCAACCTCTTGTCATGATGGGGAAACATGTCAACCTCTTGTCATGATGGGGAAACATGTCAACCTCTTGTCATGATGGGGAAACATGTCAACCTCTTGAGATGATGGGCAAGCATGTCAACCTCTTGACATGATGGGGAAACATGTCAACCTCTTGACATGATGGGGAAGCATGTCAACCTCTTGACATGATGGGGAAACATGTCAACCTCTTGACATGATGGGGAAACATGTCAACATCTTGTCATGATGGGAAGCATGTCAACCTCTTGACATGATGGGGAAACATGTCAACCTCTTGACATGATGGGAAACATGTCAACATCTTGCCATGATGGGGAAACATGTCAACATCTTGACATGATGGGGAAACATGTCAACCTCTTGCCATGATGGGGAAACATGTCAACCTCTTGACATGATGGGGAAACATGTCAACATCTTGCCATGATGGGGAAACATGTCAACATCTTGCCATGATGGGCAAACATGTCAACCTCTTGACATGATGGGCAAGCATGTCAACCTCTTGACATGATGGGCAAGCATGTCAACCTCTTTGACATGATGGGCAAACATGTCAACCTGTTTGAGTGGGGAAACATGTCAACCTCTTGACATGATGGGGAAACATGTCAACATCTTGCCATGATGGGCAAGCATGTCAACCTGTTTGAGTGGGGAAACATGTCAACCTCTTGACATGATGGGGAAACATGTCAACATCTTGCCATGATGGGGAAACATGTCAACTTGACATGATCTTGACATGATGGGGAAACATGTCAACCTCTTGACATGATGGGGAAACATGTCAACATCTTGACATGATGGGCAAGCATGTCAACCTCTTGACATGATGGGCAAGCATGTCAACCTCTTGACATGATGGGCAAGCATGTCAACCTCTTGACATGATGGGGAAACATGTCAACATCTTGACATGATGGGCAAGCATGTCAACCTGTTTGAGTGGGGAAACATGTCAACCTCTTGACATGATGGGGAAACATGTCAACATCTTGCCATGATGGGGAAACATGTCAACATCTTGACATGATGGGCAAGCATGTCAACCTCTTGACATGATGGGCAAGCATGTCAACCTCTTGACATGATGGGCAAGCATGTCAACCTCTTGTCATGATGGGCAAGCATGTCAACCTCTTGGAGTAGGGAAACATGTCAACCACTCCATTGTGTAATTTCAGACGATCAGCTGAGACTACTGCCCATCTGAAGGAGCTTGAAGATTTCCGTCTACGAGCTGTACAGGCTGAACAGAAAATAAAGGTATGGATGTCACAGTTGTAAGTCGAATGGGAAGCGATGAGAGTAGGGTGGCCTCAGACATACTTCAGATTGTCTGCATCTGTTGCAGGATGTAGGGTGGCCACAGACATACTTCAGATTGTCTACATCTGTTGCTGAAAGTAGGGTGGCCACAGACATACTTCAGATTGTCTACTTCTGTTGCAGGATGTAGGGTGGCCACAGACATACTTCAGATTGTCTACATCTGTTGCAGGATGTAGGGTGGCCACAGACATACTTCAGATTGTCTACATCTGTTGCTGAAAGTAGGGTGGCCACAGACATACTTCAGATTGTCTACATCTGTTGCAGGATGTAGGGTGGCCACAGACATACTTCAGATTGTCTACATCTGTTGCTGAAAGTAGGGTGGTCCACAGACATACTTCAGATTGTCTACATCTGTTGCTGAAAGTAGGGTGGCCACAGACATACATACTTCAGATTGTCTACATCTCTACATTGCTGAAAGTATCTGGGTGGCCACAGACATACTTCAGATTGTCTACATCTGTTTGTAGGGTGGCCACAGACATTTGATTGTCTACATCTGTTGCTGGAAGTAGGGTGGCCACAGACATACTTCAGATTGTCTACATCTGTTGCAGGATGTAGGGTGGCCTCAGACATACTTCAGATTGTCTACATCTGTTGCTGAAAGTAGGGTGGCCACAGACATACTTCAGATTGTCTACATCTGTTGCAGGATGTAGGGTGGCCACAGACATACTTCAGATTGTCTACATCTTGGTCACAGACATACTTCAGATTGTCTGTATCTGTATCTGAATATTGAGTATCTGAGTATTGATTCAGATTCCACAATATCGAAACATCATCTTGTTATAATTTTTCCCTTGGACAATTTCTTAGTATTATAGAATGTGTTTATAAAACAAGTACCAATTATGTTTGATGGCTTCTTGACACATGAAATTATTTGAAAATCCTGAAATTTGGGCATGTGAAATAATGTTAAATAATTTGCTATTGAAAGAGTAATACCTTGAGCTCTACCTGCTACTGCTGTATGAGGTGTAGTAGTATATTACTTGTGCTGTGAGAACTCCCAGGGTTGTCTGTGAGTGTAGTAGTATATTACTTGTGCTGTGAGAACTCCCAGGGTTGTCTGTGAGTGTAGTAGTATATTAGTGAACTCCCCAGGGTTGTCTGTGAGTGTATCCCAGGGTTGTGTTGTGAGTGTACTTGTGCTGTGAGAACTCCCAGGGTTGTCTGTGAGTGTAGTAGTATATTACTTGTGCTGTGAGAACTCCCAGGGTTGTCTGTGAGTGTAGTAGTATATTACTTGTGCTGTGAGAACTCCCAGGGTTGTCTGTGAGTGTAGTAGTATATTACTTGTGCTGTGAGAACTCCCAGGGTTGTCTGTGAGTGTAGTAGTATATTACTTGTGCTGTGAGAACTCCCAGGGTTGTCTGTGATTACTCCAGGACCTGGAGGACCAGGAGCGTCTGCACCAGGAAGATGTCACCATCACTCGTGCACTGAGGACTCAGTTGGAGAACCTCCCCAACCTGGAGAGGGAGCTGGACAAGCTGAAAGAGGATAACAAGTACTACAAGTAAGTGCTGTTGGACCACCTGTTGTCATGGAGAATTTAGACAGTTGTCATGGGGACAGCTGTCATGGAGACACTTGTCTTGGTGATGCCTGTTATGGTGACGTTTGCCATGGGGACTTTTCTTATGGGAACACTTTTCTTGGTGACAGTAAATCGGACATGTATCATGGGGAGAGTTGTATGGGGACAGGTGTTGTGATGTTGTTAATGATGTTGTTAGGCTATACATAATCTATTTCAAACATTATCTGAATATCCTAAAAGATGTGGATTTCCAGTTGTAAGTGTGTGTTGGTCAGGGAGACGGAGAAGAACACCCTGCTGCTGGAGGAGCAGATTGAGGGTCTGACCAAGAAACTGCAGCGGACTGAGGACAGGATGGTGGACTACACCCAGCTGCAGCTGGACAATGAGGTGGGTAAGCATCATGGCTAACTCTGAGTGCATGGTCCTCCATGCAACACAGTTCTGAATCTAACACTTATCTCTCTGTACATAGTTGGGTAAGAATGTTTTTACATGTATTAGCTTGGAAAATTATATCTAATTGCCAAATGTAACAGCTCTTGAAATTTGTCTTGGAAGTATCCCACTATGAGTCACTGAGCACTGATAGTTACTTTGCTACTTGAACAGAGTTTAAAGATCAACCTTGAGAGATGGCAGGGGAAGTCAGCAGCTGGACTTGGGAACCCTCTGTGAGTCATACACCAGTTAGATACAACTCTTCGCTGCTTCATGCACAGACATAGACAGTCCTAGCTGTGTTGTACACAGACACAGACAGCCCTAACTGTGTTGTACACAGACACAGACAGCCCAAACTGTGTTGTACACAGACAGCCCTAGCTGTGTTGTACACAGACACATAGAGCCCTAGCTGCCTCATACACAGACACAGACAGCCCTAGCTGTGTTGTACACAGACACAGACACATAGAGCCCTAGCTGCTTCATACACAGACACAGACAGCCCTAGCTGTGTTGTACACAGACACAGACACATAGAGCCCTAGCTGCTTCATACACAGACACAGACAGCCCTAGCTGTGTTGCACACAGACACAGACAGCCCTAGCTGTGTTGCACACAGACACAGACAGCCCTAGCTGTGTTGCACACAGACACAGACAGCCCTAGCTGTGTTGTACACAGACAGCCCTAGCTGTGTTGCACACAGACACAGACAGCCCTAACTGTGTTGTACACAGACAGCCCTAGCTGTGTTGTACACATACACAGACAGCCCTAGCTGTGTTGTACACAGACACAGACAGCCGTAGCTGTGTTGTACACAGACACAGACAGCCGTAGCTGTGTTGCACACTGACACAGACAGCCCTAGCTGTGTTGCACACAGACACAGACAGCCCTAACTGTGTTGTACACAGACAGCCCTAGCTGTGTTGTACACATACACAGACAGCCCTAGCTGTGTTGTACACAGACACAGACAGCCGTAGCTGTGTTGTACACAGACACAGACAGCCCTAGCTGTGTTGTACACACAGACAGCCCTAGCTGTACACAGACAGCCCTAGCTGTGTTGTACACATACACAGACAGCCCTAGCTGTGTTGTACACATACACAGACAGCCCTAGCTGTGTTGTACACAGACACAGACAGCCGTAGCTGTGTTGTACACAGACACAGGGTGACAAGTGTTTGAAACGGATCAGTATTATTTTGTAGAAGGTGCTTCCACTGAATGTTGCTGTGTTGACCAGGTCGCCGACAGAGTTGTCCCTCCAGGTGGCGGAGCTGCAGAGTGCCCAGATGCTGGCGACGGTTGAGTATGGCAAACTACAGTCCAGGTGTGTAGCAGGGTCACTTGTTCAGCCACTGATTTGCAGAGCACAGTTTGTGTAAATCTCAAATATTTGCTTAAACACTGATTTTTGATAGATAGAAATGACATTTGGGGTAACAGAGCAAATGCTGTATTGACTCACATTGCTGTATGGACTCCAAGTGCTATAATTACTCACATAACTGTATTGACTCACATTGCAGTATTGACTCACATTGCTGTGTTGACTCACATTGCTGTATTGACTCACATTGCTGTATTGACTCACATTGTAGTATTGACTAACATTGCTGTATTGACTCACATTGCAGTATTGACTAACATTGCTGTGTTGACTCACATTGCTGTGTTGACTCACGTAATATCAACTCACATTGTAGTATTGACTCACATTGCTGTATTGACTGATGTTACAGTATAGACTCACGTTGCAGTATTGACTGATATTAAAGCCGACTTGTACATGTCTCACCTGTGTTATACAGCACAGTATGGATGGTTACTGCAGTCACATAGGTGTAAACTAAGTGTGAAGCAGCACACAAGCTTCAGTACAGGGGAGATCCATGGATGTGTATTGCATCAACGTTCAAATCAGCCTTTTAGACATTGGTTTCAAAGTTTAGTTATCCAAGTCTGTTGCTGTACAGGTTCAACTCCCTTCAGGCAGAACTGCGGGAAAAAAACTGCAAGTACCAGGCCCTGGTCCAGGAGGCGAGTGCTGGGAAGACTGGGTCGCAACATCAGCAGGATCTCATAAAGAGGCTCCAGCGGAAACTGTTGTTGGTCAGCAAGGTAGGAATTACAAGAGTTAGTTCAAAGTGATATCGAACAGATGCAAACACAGCTATCACATCAGCACTGTTTGTGAGTAAAACGCCTCTCCATGTGGTAATCTATTCATAATTAGATGTTCCTATTTATAAGTTGATATTAACTTCATGCGTAAACTATTAACATTTAGTCTCTTGATTTCAAATGTTGTATTTTTGTATCAGGGAACTTTTGTATCCAACTATTCTGTATTTGGTTGACTCTGAGTTGATGGAGGGAGCCAAATGTTATTTGTTTTTGCCAGGAACGCGAGGGCTACAAGCGAATCCTGGATTCGTATGAAAGTGAAGTGACGGTGAACGTTGGTGCACTGCAGGCGAGCCGTGTCCAACAGCTGGAGCAACTCCTCCATGACTACCGCGTTCAGACAGAGTCCCTGGAGGCGGAGCTTGGACGCACTGCCCACGAGGTGTCACAGACCAAGTCCAAGTGTCTAGAGGTGGGTGCTGACGAAAGTGCTGAAGGTGTCGTTTGTGAGTGGAGTGTTGACACCCCATTCCACTAGCAGTCTTTGTGCTACGATTAAATCTTAGTTAATGAGAAGGAACTGTGATTGTCTCAGCACTTAGACTGTTGAAGAATGGAGGATGTGGGTGTGTTTGCACTGTGAATCTGTTAAAGTATAGGTTGTGATTGTGCGTTTGTGCTTCAACGCTGTTAAAGAATGGGGCATATGTCTGTGTTCACACTTCGACTCTGGATGAATCATGACTAACTCAATTCTCTCATGTTTTCATTACATTACACACCAGATTGAAATTTGGGAATGATTTTATCATTATTTCTGCCCCTGACAGCTGGAGACACTGACCACCAATAAAGGGGAGAAGGCAGAACAGTCAACAAAGAGTGACCAGAGAACTATACAGGAACTGAAGTAAGTCTTGTAAATCTTCTGTATGTGCAGAGATGTGGAAGAGGTCCCAAGTTTCTGAGGCTATCCATTTATATAAATTAACGAGGATAGGTTGTATAGTTGTGTATCATTGTACAGTTCAGGGTAAAAGATACTTGAAGAGAACTATACAGGATACTTAATTTGAAATATTTATTTAATAATTAAAGATAATTAAAAAATTATCTGGATGAAATTTGTGTTATCAATAATATTTTAATGAAATATTGTGATGAAATGCACAATACACAAAGTTCATCACAATTCATGTAATGATTCTAAATTATGTTCAGAATGTGATTTGTGCATCATGTGCAATGTCTCCTCTCACCAGTGACGTAATACATGTTTATTTAGGACTTATGTTTGCTTTTTTGCCTTTTTTGAAGTTATTTCCCTGTAGTATGTTGATAAACGATCAGTATCGATTATTGATCTCAATGATACATACTAATAGCCAGCCCTATTACTGTACTGTGGCTAATGAGTTGTGTCATTGTGCCTTGACAACATGGATTGTATATCATTGTGCCTTGACAACATGGATTGTATATCATTGTGCCTTGACAACATGGATTGTATGTCATTGTGCCTTGACAACATGGATTGTATATCATTGTGCCTTGACAACATGGATTGTATATCATTGTGCCTTGACAACATGGATTGTATGTCATTGTGCCTTGACAACATGGATTGTATATCATTGTGCCTTGACAACATGGAATGTATCTCATTGTGCCTTGACAACATGGATTGTAATGTCATTATGCCTTGACAACATGGATTGTATGTCATTGTGCCCTGACAACATGGATTGTATGTCATTATGCCTTGACAACATGGATTGTATGTCATTGTGCCTTGACAACATGGATTGTATATCATTGTGCCTTGACAACATGGATTGCATGTCATTGTGCCTTGACAACATGGATTGTATGGCATTGTTCCCTGACAACATGGATTGCATGTCATTGTGCCTTGACAACATGGATTGCATGTCATTGTGCCCTGACAACATGGATTGTATGTCATTGTGCCTTGACAACATGGATTGCAAGTCATTGTGCTTTGACAACATGGATTGTATGTCATTATTCCCTGACAACATGGATTGTATGTCATTGTGCCTTGACAACATGGATTGTATATCATTGTGCCTTGACAACATGGATTGCATGTCATTGTGCCTTGACAACATGCATATCAGTGTTTGTCATTTTGTTGAGACCACATTGATTGTTGCATGGTTACGGTCCAGGCTTGAATAATGACATGAAGCATATGATAACAAGGCATCAGACTCATATTCACTCGTTTGGTGTCAACAGTTGCTAGACCAGATAGGAGTCCATGACAGCTTTCTCTTCTTCATTGCATCACACCATCTCAGTTTTTGATGCATCATCTGTATTCTGTTGTTTCTCTGCAGAGAGAGAATCATTGAGCTGGAGTTGGAATTGGAGAAGAGGAACAAACAGGTCAACCTCCTGGAGGCGCGGATAGAACAGAGGAACCTCCAGGTGAGTGTTGGAGAGTGTCCAGTAGAACAGAGGAACCTGTAGGTGAGTGTTGGAGAGTCTCCAGTAGAACAGAGGTGAGTGTTGAAGAGTCTCCAGTAGAACAGAGGAACCTGTAGGTGAGTGTTGGAGAGTCTCCAGTAGAACAGAGGAACCTCCAGGTGAGTGTTGGAGAGTGTCCAGTAGAACAGAGGTGAGTGTTGAAGAGTCTCCAGCAGAACAGAGGTGAGTGTTGAAGAGTCTCCAGCAGAACAGAGGAACTTGTAGGTGAGTGTTGGAGAGTCTCCAGCAGAACAGAGGTGAGTGTTGAAGAGTCTCCAGTAGAACAGAGGAACTTGTAGGTGAGTGTTGGAGAGTCTCCAGTAGAACAGAGGTGAGTGTTGGAGAGTCTCCAGTAGAACAGAGGAACTTGTAGGTGAGTGTTGGAGAGTCTCCAGTAGAACAGAGGAACCTCCAGGTGAGTGTTGGAGAGTCTCCAGCAGAACAGAGGTGAGTGTTGAAGAGTCTCCAGTAGAACAGAGGAACCTGTAGGTGAGTGTTGCAGAGTCTCCAGTAGAACAGAGGAACTTGTAGGTGAGTGTTGGAGAGTCTCCAGTAGAACAGAGGTGAGTGTTGAAGAGTCTCCAGTAGAACAGAGGAACCTGTAGGTGAGTGTTGAAGAGTCTCCAGTAGAACAGAGGAACCTGTAGGTGAGTGTTGCAGAGTCTCCAGTAGAACAGAGGAACTTGTAGGTGAGTGTTGGAGAGTGTCCAGTAGAACAGAGGAACCTGTAGGTGAGTGTTGGAGAGTCTCCAGTAGAACAGAGGAGCCTGTAGGTGAGTGTTGGAGAGTCTCCAGTAGAACAGAGGAACCTGTAGGTGAGTGTTGGAGAGTCTCCAGTAGAACAGAGGAACCTCCAGGTGAGTGTTGGAGAGTGTCCAGTAGAACAGAGGAACCTGTAGGTGAGTGTTGGAGAGTCTCCAGTAGAACAGAGGAACCTCCAGGTGAGTGTTGGAGAGTCTCCAGTAGAACAGAGGAACCTGTAGGTGAGTGTTGCAGAGTCTCCAGTAGAACAGAGGAACTTGTAGGTGAGTGTTGGAGAGTGTCCAGTAGAACAGAGGAACCTGTAGGTGAGTGTTGGAGAGTCTCCAGTAGAACAGAGGAACCTCCAGGTGAGTGTTGGAGAGTGTCCCAGTAGAACAGAGGAACCTGTAGGTGAGGTGTTGGAGAGTCTCCAGTAGAACAGAGGAACCTCCAGGTGAGTGTTGGAGAGTGTCCAGTAGAACAGAGGAACCTGTAGGTGAGTGTTGGAGAGTGTCCAGTAGAACAGAGGAACCTCCAGGTGAGTGTTGGAGAGTGTCCAGTAGAACAGAGGAACCTGTAGGTGAGTGTTGGAGAGTGTCCAGTAGAACAGAGGAACCTCCAGGTGAGTGTTGGAGAGTCTCCAGTAGAACAGAGGAACCTCCAGGTGAGTGTTGGAGAGTGTCCAGTAGAACAGAGGAACTTGTAGGTGAGTGTTGGAGAGTCTCCAGTAGAACAGAGGAGCCTGTAGGTGAGTGTTGGAGAGTGTCCAGTAGAACAGAGGAGTCTCCAGGTGAGTGTTGGAGAGTGTCCAGTAGAACAGAGGAACTTGTAGGTGAGTGTTGGAGAGTGTCCAGTAGAACAGAGGAGCCTCCAGGTGAGTGTTGGAGAGTCTCCAGTAGAACAGAGGAACCTCCAGGTGAGTGTTGGAGAGTGTCCAGTAGAACAGAGGAACTTGTAGGTGAGTGTTGGAGAGTCTCCAGTAGAACAGAGGAACCTCCAGGTGAGTGTTGGAGAGTGTCCAGTAGAACAGAGGAACTTGTAGGTGAGTGTTGGAGAGTCTCCAGTAGAACAGAGGAGCCTGTAGGTGAGTGTTGGAGAGTCTCCAGTAGAACAGAGGAGCCTGTAGGTGAGTGTTGGAGAGTCTCCAGTAGAACAGAGGAACCTGCAGGTGAGTGTTGGAGAGTCTCCAGTGGAGCAGAGGAGCCTGTAGGTGAGTGTTGGAGAGTCTCCAGTGGAGCAGAGGAGCCTGTAGGTGAGTGTTGGAGAGTCTCCAGTGGAGCAGAGGAGCCTGTAGGTGAGTGTTGGAGAGTCTCCAGTAGAACAGAGGAACCTGTAGGTGAGGTGTTGGAGAGTCTCCAGTAGAACAGAGAGCCTGTAGGGTGAGTGTTGGAGAGTCTCCAGTGGAGCAGAGGAGCCTGTAGGTGAGTGTTGGAGAGTCTCCAGTGGAGCAGAGGAACCTGTAGGTGAGTGTTGGAGAGTCTCCAGTGGAGCAGAGGAGCCTGTAGGTGAGTGTTGGAGAGTCTCCAGTGGGCAGAGGAGAGCCTGTAGGTGAGTGTTGGAGAGTCTCCAGTAGAACAGAGGAACCTGTAGGTGAGTGTTGGAGAGTCTCCAGTAGAACAGAGGAGCCTGTAGGTGAGTGTTGGAGAGTCTCCAGTAGAACAGAGGAACCTGCAGGTGAGTGTTGGAGAGTCTCCAGTGGAGCAGAGGAGCCTGTAGGTGAGTGTTGGAGAGTCTCCAGTAGAACAGAGGAGCCTGTAGGTGAGTGTTGGAGAGTCTCAGTAGAACAGAGAGGAGCCTGTAGGTGAGTGTTGGAGAGTCTCCAGTAGAGTGACAGAGGAGCCTGTAGGTGAGTGTTGGAGAGTCTCAGTAGAACAGAGGAACCTGCAGGTGAGTGTTGGAGAGTCTCAGTAGAACAGAGGAGCCTGTAGGTGAGGTGTTGGGGAGAGTCTCAGTAGAACAGAAAGGAACCTGTAGGGTGAGGTGTTGGAGAGTCTCCCAGTAGAACAGAGGAACCTGTAGGTGTGAGTGTTGGAGAAGTGTCCAGTAGAACAGAGGAACCTGTAGGTGAGTGTTGGAGAGTCTCCAGTAGAACAGAGGAACTTGTAGGTGAGTGTTGGAGAGTCTCCAGTGGAGCACAGAGGAGCCTGTAGGTGAGTGTTGGAGAGTCTCCAGTAGAACAGAGGAGCCTGTAGGTGAGTGTTGGAGAGTCTCCAGTAGAACAGAAAGGAACCTGTAGGTGAGTGTTTGGAGAGTCTCCAGTGGAGCAGAGGAGCCTCCCAGGTGAGTGTTGGAGAGTCTCCAGTAGGAGAACAGAGGAGCCTCCAGGTGAGTGTTGGAGAGTCTCCAGTAGAACAGAAAGAACCTGCAGGTGAGTGTTGGAGAGTCTCCAGTAGAACAGAGAGGAGCCTGTAGGTGAGGTGTTGGAGAGTCTCCAGTAGAACAGAGAGGAGCCTGTAGGTGAGTGTTGGAGAGTCTCCAGTAGAACAGAGGAGCCTGCAGGTGAGGTGTTGGAGAGTCTCCAGTGGAGCAGAGGAGCCTGTAGGTGAGTGTTGGAGAGTGTCCAGTAGAACAGAGGAGCCTGTAGGTGAGTGTTGGAGAGTCTCCAGTAGAACAGAGGAACCTGTAGGTGAGTGTTGCAGAGTCTCCAGTAGAACAGAGGAGCCTGTAGGTGAGTGTTGGAGAGTCTCCAGTGGAGCAGAGGAGCCTGCAGGTGAGTGTTGGAGAGTCTCCAGTAGAACAGAGGAGCCTGTAGGTGAGTGTTGGAGAGTCTCCAGTGGAGCAGAGGAGCCTGTAGGTGAGTGTTGGAGAGTCTCCAGTAGAACAGAGGAGCCTGTAGGTGAGTGTTGGAGAGTCTCCAGTGGAGCAGAGGAGCCTGTAGGTGAGTGTTGGAGAGTCTCCAGTAGAACAGAGGAACTTGTAGGTGAGTGTTGGAGAGTCTCCAGTAGAACAGAGGAACCTGTAGGTGAGTGTTGGAGAGTCTCCAGTAGAACAGAGGAGCCTGTAGGTGAGTGTTGGAGAGTCTCCAGTAGAACAGAGGAGCCTGTAGGTGAGTGTTGGAGAGTCTCCAGTAGAACAGAGGAACCTGCAGGTGAGGTGTTGGAGAAGTCTCAGTAGAACAGAGGAGCCTGTAGGTGAGTGTTGGAGAGTCTCCAGTAGAACAGAGGAGCCTGTAGGTGAGTGTTGGAGAGTCTCCAGTAGAACAGAGGAACCTGTAGGTGAGTGTTGGAGAGTCTCCAGTAGAACAGAGGAACCTGTAGGTGAGTGTTGGAGAGTCTCCAGTAGAACAGAGGAACCTGTAGGTGAGTGTTGGAGAGTGTCCAGTGGAGCAGAGGAGCCTCCAGGTGAGTGTTGGAGAGTGTCCAGTAGAACAGAGGAGCCTGTAGGTGAGTGTTGGAGAGTCTCCAGTAGAACAGAGGAGCCTGTAGGTGAGTGTTGGAGAGTCTCCAGTAGAACAGAGGAGCCTGTAGGTGAGTGTTGGAGAGTCTCCAGCAGAACAGAGGTGAGTGTTGGAGAGTCTCCAGTAGAACAGAGGAACCTGCAGGTGAGTGTTGGAGAGTCTCCAGTAGAACAGAGGAGCCTGTAGGTGAGTGTTGGAGAGTGTCCAGTAGAACAGAGGTGCCTGTAGGTGAGTGTTGGAGAGTCTCCAGCAGAACAGAGGTGAGTGTTGATGAATCTCCAGTACAACAGAGGAGCCTGTAGGTGAGTGTTGGAGAGTCTCCAGTAGAACAGAGGAGCCTGTAGGTGAGTGTTGGAGAGTCTCCAGCAGAACAGAGGTGAGTGTTGATGAATCTCCAGTACAACAGAGGAGCCTGCAGGTGGGTGTTGGAGAGTCTCCAGCAGAACAGAGGTGAGTGTTGAAGAGTCTCCAGTAGAACAGAGGAACTGTAGGTGAGTGTTGGAGAGTCTCCAGTAGAACAGAGGTGAGTGTTGGAGAGTCTCCAGTAGAACAGAGGAACCTGTAGGTGAGTGTTGCAGAGTCTCCAGTAGAACAGAGGAACCAGCCTACCCGTGTGAGTCGGTCGGTGACTTTGAGAAGGTTCAGAAATTGCCCCCAACCTTTTGGCTGTCCATGCTGGTCTTGGTCGAGTATTGGTGTGATGAGGTCAGGAGGGAATACTGCTGTCACTATCACATTGTGTGCTGTTTATTTGCAGGGTGATTATGATCCGTCCAAGACGAAGGTGGTCCACTTCACTATGAACCCTGCTGAGATAGCTCAGAGACACAGAGAAGAGGAGCTGAAAAGGTTGCATGATGAAAATGACAAACTGAAACAGAGGCTGAAGTTGCTAGAGGAATCTGGAGGCTCGGTGGATGACCTGACTCAGAAGGTGGAGAAGAAACTACAGGAACCAGATGCCGGAAAGGAGGTGGAAGGTCAGAATGATTGTTTCAGGTGGAGGATTGTGTCGGATAGTCTATGGTGTTGGATAGTTGGTGTAAGGTGGTGGATGGTTAGTGTCAGGTGGTGGATTATGTCGGATAGTCTATGGTGTTGGATAGTTGGTGTCAGGTGGTGGATGGTTAGTGTCAGGTGGTGGATTATGTCGGATGGTTAATGGTGTCAGGTGGTGGATTGGGTCAGATGTTCCATGCTATCAGATAGTGGATTGTGATATATGGTCGATTGTGTGAAGAGGGAAATGTCAGATGGTTGATTGTTTCAGATGGGAGATTATATCAGATAGTGTACTGTGTCAGATGAGACATCGTGTCAGATAGTGTATTGTGTTAGGTGATTCATTGTGTCAGATATATTGTGTGTGAGGCATGTCAGGTGATGTGTGTAGGTGATTGGCATTGTGTCAGGTGATGCATTGTGTGCATTGTGTCAGATAGTGTATTATTGTGTCAGGTGATGTCATTGTGTCAGGTGATGATAGATGTATTGTGAGGCATTGTGTCAGTGAGGCATTGTGTCAGTGAGGCATTGTGTCAGTGGATTGTGAGGTGCATTGTGTTAGGTGAGATAGTGTATGGTGTATTTTGGTGAGGCATTGTGTCAGGTGATGACATTGTGTCAGGTGATGCATTGTGTCAGATAGTGTATTGTGTCAGGTGATGTCCAGGTGATGCATTTGTGTTAGATAGTGTATTGTGTCAGATAGTGTATTGAGGCATTGTGTCAGATATAGTGATGCTTTGTGTATTGTGTCAGTTGAGGCATTGTGTCAGATAGTGTCATTGAGGTGTCAGGTGATGAGGCATTGTATCAGATATAGTCAGTTGAGGCATTGTGTTAGGTGAGGTGATACATTGTATCAGATAGTGTATTGTGTTAGGTGAGGCATTATGTCAGATGGTGTATTGTGTCAGGTGAGGCATTGTGTCATATTAGGGAAATGACAGATAGTGTATTGTTCCAGATGGGACCTTTGGCATAGTATTGGGAGGTCAAGATGTTTCAGACAATGTTTTCAACCTCCTGTCCCTCAGAGCTGAAGAGCCAGCTGACCCGGGAAGAGCTGCGCAACAAGCGACTGATGGAGGCATTCAAAAAGACGAGCCAGGAGTTCCGTGAGGTGTGCTACCAGCTGACAGGCTACAAGATTGACATCCCCTGTGCCAGTCAGTACCGACTCACAAACATGTATGCCGATTCCCCACAAGACTACCTGCTGTTTGCTGTGAGTAGAGGGCAGCTCTAGGGGCACCTGTTGTTGCTGTGAGTAGAGGGCAGCTCTAGGGGCACCTGTTGTTGCTGTGAGTAGAGGGCAGCTCAAGGGGCACCTGTTGTTGCTGTGAGTAGAGGGCAGCTCTAGGGGCACCTGTTGTTGCTGTGAGTAGAGGGCAGCTCAGGGGGCACCTGTTGTTGCTGTGAGTAGAAGGCAGCTCTAGGGGCACCTGTTGTTGCTGGGAGTAGAGGGCAGCTCTAGGGGCACCTGTTGTTGTGAGTAGAGGGTAGCTCAAGGGGCACCTGTTGTTGCTGTGAGTAGAGGGCAGCTCTAGGGGCACCTGTTGTTGCTGGGAGTAGAGGGCAGCTCTAGGGGCACCTCTTGTTGCTGTGAGTAGAGGGCAGCTCAAGGGGCACCTCTTGTTGCTGTGAGTAGAGGGCAGCTCTAGGGGCACCTGTTGCTGGGAGTAGAGGGCAGCTCTAGGGGCACCTGTTGTTGCTGGGAGTAGAGGGCAGCTCTAGGGGCACCTGATGTTGCTGGGAGTAGAGGGCAGCTCTAGGGGCACCTGTTGTTGTAGAGGGTAGCTCAAGGGGCACCTGTTGTTGCTGTGAGTGAGAGGGCAGCCTAGGGGTTGTTGTTGCTGGGAGTAGAGGGCAGCTCTAGGGGCACCTCTTGTTGCTGTGAGTAGAGAGGGCAGCTCAAGGGGCACCTCTTGTTGCTGTGAGTAGAGGGCAGCTCTAGGGGCACCTGTTGCTGGGAGTAGAGGGCAGCTCTAGGGGCACCTGTTGTTGCTGGGAGTAGAGGGCAGCTCTAGGGGCACCTGATGTTGCTGGGAGTAGAGGGCAGCTCTAGGGGCACCTGTTGTTGCTGTGTTGTTTATGTTTGTTAATGTCTACGAGGAACAGGTCTGTATCATGTGGATATAGCTGAGGGAATACATTGTAGCGTAGGGAATGTAAGTTAGCTCAGTATTATACATTATGTCTATGCTACAAAAAGTCAGAAGTTAAAGAACACCTGCTGTGTTACGATAACTATAGATAATGTCATGGCGAAGATACATTAACTATAAGCATGTTAGAAATTGGTTGTTCTTCAGCTTCTATGGATTAGTATGCATCAATTCAGTGTAAATATTTATAATTTGGGAATTAACAGTAAATAGATTTGTTAGTTAGTAAACAATTCAGTAGTGATTTTGATTTCTGTTGATATTGAAAAAGACAAGTATATATGTAATATGGTAGCTAGGCCAGACTGAGGAGGACATTAACACGAAGATGTTTCCTTCACAGCATAGCTCCTCGGGTGAGACACAGATGCTCCAAACGGCTTTCTCCGAGACGGTGCAGGATCTCATTGACCTTTACCTTGCTAAACAGGACAGTATCCCGGCATTCCTCAGTAGCGTCACACTGCAACTGTTCAGTAGTCGAACCATGTGTGCAGATTGAGTGTACCTCTCAAGTGAGGGTTTTAATGTCAAGGTGTGCACCTCTGAAAAGGGTTTTAATGTCAAGGTGTGCACCTCTCAAGTGAGGGTTTTAATGTCAAGTGACCTCTGGTGACAGAGATGCCTCTCCTTGCAATGAACACTGATGATGATGATGATGGAATGCAGTACACAGTGATGTAACGCTGCTTTTGCTGCTGCTGGAATGCAGGGCCTAGATTTTCGAAGCTCTCTTAGCGCTAAGATAGTCGTAAGTGCCATACATTAACGTTGACTTACGACTCTCTTAGTGCTAAGAGAGCTTCGAAAATCTAGGCCCTGTGATGTAATTCTAATGCTGCAGATACCAAGTCTGCTGAGTGTTGGAAATTCACTAAATATGCGACTGTCTGGAAGGTGACTAACTGCTTGTAGGTCATCAGTATATATGATCAGTGAACATGAAGAGATGGATGGAGATGTGCACGTGGAATCCTGCCTTTGTAACCATTGGAAACGACAGTTGTTATCGTGTACAGTAACTGTTGATACTGATATGTTGTTTTTTTAGGAAGATAATAAAGATCACACATGTAATTTGTTCTCATTCTTTTCAACCAGCTTGAGAACCTGGCAGATTATTGAGGTCCAGATGACGGTTTACAGAGAACCTGGCAGATTATTGAGGTCCAAATGACGGTTTACGAGAACTGAGAACCTGGCAGATTACTGAGGTCAGATGAGGTCCGGTTTACACTGAGAACCTGGCAGATTATTGAGGTCCAGATGACGGTTTACACTGAGAACCTGGCAGATTATTGAGGTCCAGATGACGGTTTACACTGAGAACCTGGCAGATTATTGAGGTCCAGATGACGGTTTACACTGAGAACCTGGCAGATTATTGAGACACCAATGTCTTAAAAGCATCTAATCTCAATCTTCTGCATTTCCTGAAGTTGACTTACTCTCATAGTCTGTTTGTATTATCTTACTGTTAGAGGAATAGGTCACCAAGTTGTCTGAGGGGTGGCAAGTTGCTGTGTGGAGTTACTTCCCTTAAGTGTACTAGGAGCCTGGGATCATGGGCTCTAATCCTTGATTATCTCTGTTACCTGCCTCACTTCCAACTGTCATCCCTCATGCCAGGTTTCAAAGAAACACATAAAACTAAAGCATGACATGGATTCGAGGGCATCCTCTTGTATCACTGTAGAATACATGTTCACAGAAAGCAATAACAACAGATTCCTTTTCACAAACAATTTTGCAAGACTTTATTCCACAATATACTTCTCTATAGTGCCGAGTGCAGTTGTCAAAAGACAGGATTTCCTGATGTCATAAATCAGTATTATGCTGCAAGGTCTGGGCTTGAAAATTGTGTTCCTTTGTATCTGTGTAGATCAATACTGGGGCAAAAAAAATAATTCATCTTCCTTGTGCATATATATGAGCAAAACCATATATAACAGATTCACTGGATGTAAAGCTTATTGCATTACTGGTCATCCAGAATTACAATCACACTCTTAACTGGAAAAAAGTGCTGAAATAGATCAAATCTGGAATGAATTTTAAGTAATATATGTGTTTTGATTCATGAGATAATATCATACTTGCAGATTTGATGAATAACTTTGATGTATGCTCCAACTTTACACAGTGAATTAATGTGACCGCATTAGAAAATTGTAATTTAGTAATCAATGCTTAAAATACCAACATTGATGTTTACTTAGAAGTGGTCTCAGGTGGTACATTCACATAACACACAACGACATCAAGTACTTCCTAAATGTGCATCCAAGGAGGTGGATTAAAGAGGTATTGCAGAAAACACAGTGCCATAAACTCATGCTTTAAATCTGATGTGACAGTCGGACTTCAATATTCCGCAGACCCAATGAAATCAAGCTAGCTTCACAGTTACAATCAAATGGGATTCTTTGGTCCACTGGTCCACTGACGTACAACTCAACACAGGTCAAGGAATATATTTCCTGTCCTCAAGCTGCCATCGTCATAAATAAGGTAATGAGGTTTGCCAGCAGTGGGCATGAAGATGTCTGGTGTGTCTTTACTGAAACCATGCATGGAATTCACCATATCATACGGAATGTTAATTACATACATAACTATAATATGACTTTGTGAATGGATTCTCATTGTTATTTATCAGGAAAACAAAGGTTCATATTCCAGTAAAATGTACTTTTAGACAACAATAATTGTCTAAACACATTAGATGAAATAAATGAGGTAATAAATGCAATTAGAAATGCCATGTGTAGAGAATGAAGTGTACCATCTGGACACTGTGAGCAGTGATGAGACTTAGAGAGCCAATATACAAGCTACTGATAACACAAACAATTAACATCACTGAACAGTAACTTAACTACTTAACTATCACTTAAGTAGTCGGCAATATACATATTTCAATATCACATTATTCTCTATTGAGAAATAAAAGATTGACATCTTAATTGTCACAGATTCGAGCTCATCAACAGCTGGACCTCCATGTGACCTTCCTGATCTTCAACAAAACATTGTAAAACATTGTAAAATATTGTAGAGCAATAACACGATGGAGGATTTCTTCAAACATGATAAAATGCATGAATAATGTTGTGTGGAGGTTAATGTTAAAATCTGAGCTAATCAGAATACAGTCAACAAAGATAAAGGGATTATATATATATTGCACAAGTATTCCTAAGGGGACCATCTCAAACTATCACTTTTATTCTGTGCACCGATTAACTTTGATATAAATTTATTTTCAGTTCCTAAGTGAATTTGAATTTTGAATTTGCCCATGCTAATACTTGTCATGGAGACACTGAATTGTTCCCAATGTGAAATAGTCTGAGGTGGCCCCTGATCCACAGGTGAGCAGGGTAGCAGGGTAAATGCTGCACAGTACATCACATATATCACAACATGAGGACAAAAATATACTCTTCATATAATGTGGCTGAAGACTAGCTTGGATATGTCACAGGATATTTTCAGGGTCAGATTCCATGTTATGCAGTCCAAATCTTTCATTTCAATGGACTCTCCAAATGAGAATAATGTCAGATTATCCCCCATTTTTTGGCCCGGTTTTCACTGTGAAATACCTGACAAACTTATCCAAGTTACTCTGCTGCTGCTGTCATCAGCATGCTCTATGTATTATATGTCCTTGCACTGATGTTTCCAGCTGAGTCTAAATAGCAATAGAAATACAAACAGTTGGAAGAATTAAAATTACAAATTCCTGAATTTTCAAGTTTAAAGAGTAAGTTTTGTGACCTAATTTCCTTTTGTGAAGTAATTACTTCCATTTTCTGTTATCCTTTTCACAATTTGTTAATTTTTTAAGGTAACATCAGCTACACCAACATGTGGGTCACAAGGACAGGTGACCTTGACCTCTACTTCTGAAGGTCGGCTATCAAGCGACGAACAAGGCGTTCCCATTCCTGTGGAGTCAGTTGTCTCTTGATGAGCTGCAGGCGGTACAGCTGTTCCCAAAGCTGTGAAATGAATCAAAGGCCGGACTGAACAATCATGTCTTGTGTCCCTTCACATGTTTCATCACAACAAAAAGTATTTGACTTCCTCTAATAACGTTTTCAAAATCCAAAACTTACTTTACTTTTCTGAGTCATTGTTAAGGTGCCATAATCTATAAATGATATGTAAAACAATTCTCTATTTTGACTGTAAACCTCTAATGATTTCATCCTCTTGTTATTTCGATGGAGTCCATCTGCTGGAACCCAACTCCACCCCAGCACCCTGGACCTGCAGGAGCCCCATCTCAACCAAAGCTCCCTGGACCTGTAGGAGCCTCATCTCAACCAAAGCTCCCACCACCTACAGGAGCCCCATGCCACCCCAACACCCTGGACCCTGTAGGAGCCTCATCTCAACCAAAGCTCCCACCACCTACAGGAGCCCCATGCCACCCCAACACCCTGGACCTGTAGGAGCCTCATCTCAACCAAAGCTCCCACCACCTGCAGGAGCCCCATGCCACCCCAGCACCTGGACCTGTGGAGCCCCATGCACTGAGCCCAATCCCAACCAAAGCTCCCTGGACCTGTAGGAGCCCTCATCTCAACCAAAGCTCCCACCACCTACAGGAGCCCCATGCCACCCCAGCACCTGGACCAGGAGCCTCATCTCAACCAAAGCTCCCACCACCTACAGGGAGCCCCATGCCACCCCATCCTGGACCTGCAGGAGCCCAATCCCAACCAAAGCTCCCTGGACCTGTAGGAGCCCCATCCCACCACCACATCCTGGACCTGTAGGAGCCCCATCTGCCAACCCCCAAGCTCCCACCACCTGCAGGAGCCCCATGCCACCCCAGCACCCTGGACCTACAGGAGCCCCATGCCAATCCCAAAGCTCCCTGGACCTGTAGGAGCCCCATCAACCAAAGCTCCCACCACCTACAGGAGCCCCATGCCACCCCAGCATCCTGGACCTGCAGGAGCCCCATCCCAACCAAAGCTCCCTGGACCTGCAGGAGCCTCATCTCAACCAAAGCTCCCACCACCTACAGGAGCCCCATGACTCCCCAGCACCCTGGACCTGTAGGAGCCCCATCTCAACCAAAGCTCCCACCACCTGCAGGGAGCCCCATGCCACCCCAGCACCCTGGACCCGTAGGAGCCCCATCCCTGTAGAGAGCCCACCAAAGCTCCCACCACCTGCAGGAGCCCCATGCCACCCCAGCACCCTGGACCCGTGGGAGCCCCATCTCAACCAAAGCTCCCACCACCTACAGGAGCCCCATGCCACCCCAGCACCCTGGACCCGTAGGAGCCCCATCTCAACCAAAGCTCCCACCACCTACAGGAGCCCCATGACTCCCCAGCACCCTGGACCCGTAGGAGCCCCATCTCAACCAAAGCTCCCACCACCTACAGGAGCCCCATGACTCCCCAGCACCCTGGACCTGTAGGAGCCCCATCTCAACCAAAACACCCACCTCCCCGCATGGCAATAAAAGCAGCCCCACCTCCTGCGGGAGCCGCATGGCAATAAAAACACCCACCTCCTGCGGGTACTCCTTTTCAACTGTCTCTATCCTGACCTCTTCACACTCCTCCTGGGAAGGCTGTGGCTTGTCACTAGAAACCAGCTCAAAATCGACTCGCTGAGCTCCACGCTGGGCCTCCAAGTTGTTGTTCACTCGAACACATCGGGTGGCATTGTGGTAGCCAGGGGCAACAACTGTGATACGGTAGTACCCGTCAATCAACAGGCGATAGTAATCACCATCAGCAGCTGTAAAGACAACAACCCCTGATGTAAAGTTGATCCCATAGATGTAGGATGAGTTACAGCAAGCAGCCTGAATTAGTCTAGTGTGTCAAGACATGTATCCAAGGTGTTCATTCACCAAGCTAGAGCAATGGCTGTGTTAAAGTGTGGGACTGACAACACCCAGAGCTGGGACTATCTCACATCTATGATAATGTATGAGAGCGACAAATTTTGAACCCTTTTCAATCCTGTGCATTAAGTAGAGAGTGTGTTGTCGCAGTCTATATTGTGTACAAACCTGTGAGAATATCATGAGCAATATACTCTCCGGATGTCATGTTGGTCGTCTTGATGGCAGCATCCTTTACAGGAACTCCATCGGTTGTCTTCACGAGACCCTTCACTCCAATGTGACTCTGAAACACATCATGTTGTGGGCTGCAGGGATGCTCTTATCTTGACACAATAAGGAACTCACATATACACACAAAAGCAATGACTGGGAACAAGTAAACCAACTACTACAGACCAATCATTAAACCGACTACAACTGACTATCCAGGAAACCCACTAATTTGACTATCCAGGAAACCCACTAACGCCGACTATCCAGGAAACCCACTAACGCCAACTATCCAGGAAACCCACTAAACTATCCAGGAAACCCACTAATGTTGACTATCCAGGAAACCCACTAATGCTGACTATCCAGGAAACCCACTAATGCTGACTATCCAGGAAACCCACTAACGCCGACTATCCAGGAAACCCACTAACGCTGACTATCCAGGAAACCCACTAACGCTGACTATCCAGGAAACCCACTAACACCTACTATCCAGGAAACCCACTAATGTTGACTATCCAGGAAACCCACTAACACTGACTATCCAGGAAACCCACAAATGCTGATTACCCAGGAAACCCACTAATGCTGACTATCCAGAAAACCCACTAATGTTGACTATCCAGGAAACCCACCAATGCTGACTATCCAGGAAACCCACAAATGCTGATTATCCACAAAACCCACAAACGCTGACTACCCAGGAAACCAACTAACACTGACTATCCACAAAACCCAGTTGCACTGTCCAGCCAGTAAACCCACTAATGCTGACCATCCAGGAAACCCACTAATGCTGACTATCCAGGAAACCCACTAATGCTGACTATCCAGTAAACCCACTAATGTTGACTATCCAAGAAACCCACTAATGCTGACTATCCAGGAAACCCACTAATGCTGACTATCCAGGAATCACTATGAGTAAGAGGCAACTGAATCCTGTTTGGAGTGTGCTGTGTGGACTAAGCTGGCCTCTAACGCTGACTATCCAGGAAACCCACTAATGCTGACTATCCAGGAAACCCACTAATGTTGACTATCCAGGAAACCCACTAATGCTGACTATCCAGGAAACCCACTAATGCTGACTATCCAGGAAACCCACTAATGTTGACTATCCAGGAAACCCACTAATGCTGACTATCCAGAAAACCCACTAATGTTGACTATCCAGGAAACCCACCAACGCTGACTATCCAGGAAACCCACAAATGCTGATTATCCAGGAAACCCACAAATGCTGATTATCCAGGAAACCCACTAATGCTGATTATCCAGGAAACCCATTTATTCTGATTATCCAGGAAACCCACTAATGCTGACTATCCAGGAAACCCACTAATGCTGACTATCCAGGAAACCCACTAACACTGACTAACACTGACTATCCAGAAACCAACTAACACTGACTACCAGAAACCCACAAATGCTGAATCCAGTTGATGCTATCCAGGAAACCTAAACTATCCAGGGAGCCCTAACGCTGACTATCCAGGAAACCCACTAATGCTGATTATCCAGGAAACCCACTAATGCTGACTATCCAGGAAACCCACTAACGCTGACTATCCAGGAAACCCACTAACACTGACTATCCAGGAAAACCCACTAATGCAAATGCTGATTATCCAGGAAATGCTGATTATCCACTAATGCTGACTATCCAGGAAACCCACTAATGCTGACTATCCAGGAAACCCACTAACGCTTGCTATGACTTATCCAGGAAACCCACTAACACATTATGACTATCCAGAAAACCCACTAATGCTGACTATCCAGGAAACCCACTAATGTTGACTATCCAGGAAACCAACTAACACTGACTATCCAGAAAACCCACTAACACTGACTATCCAGAAAACCCACTAATGTTGACTATCCAGGCAACCCACCAACGCTGACTATCCAGGAAACCCACAAATGCTGATTATCCACAAAACCCACAAACGCTGACTACCCAGGAAACCAACTAACGCTGACTATCCAGGAAACCCACTAATGCTGACTATCCAGGAAACCCACTAATGCTGACTATCCAGGAATCACTATGACTAAGAGGCAACTGAATCCTGTTTGGAGTGTGCTGTGTGGACTAAGCTGGCCTCTACCTGCAGGATGTAGAAGATAAGGGCATCTTTGTTCTCTTTCCAGTAGTCTTCCAGATCCCAGTCCCAGGGGAACTTGGTGCAGCCCAGCTCAAGGGTGATCTCAAAGCAGTTGGTGTCAAGGTAGTTGTAGTCCTGCATACCTAGAAAGTGGATATATGCAGGTAGTTGTAGTCCTATGTACCTAGATAGTGGATATATACAGGTAGTTGTAGTCCTGTGTACCTAGATAGTGGATATACACAGGTAGTTGTAGTCCTGTGTACCTAGATAGTGGATATACACAGGTAGTTGTAGTCCTGCATACCTAGATAGTGGATATATATACAGGTAGTTGTAGTCCTGCATACCTAGATAGTGGATATATATACAGGTAGTTGTAGTCCTGCATACCTAGATAGTGGATATATACAGGTAGTTGTAGTCCTGCATACCTAGATAGTGGATATACACAGGTAGTTGTAGTCCTGTGTACCTAGATAGTGGATATATACAGGTAGTTGTAGTCCTGCATACCTAGATAGTGGATATATATACAGGTAGTTGTAGTCCTGCATACCTAGATAGTGGATATATATACAGGTAGTTGTAGTCCTGCATACCTAGATAGTGGATATATATACAGGTAGTTGTAGTCCTGTGTACCTAGATAGTGGATATACACAGGTAGTTGTAGTCCTGTGTACCTAGATAGTGGATATATACAGGTAGTTGTAGTCCTGCATACCTAGATAGTGGATATATACCTATACAGTGGATATATGTACAGTTGTAGTCCTGTGTACCTAGATAGTGGATATATACAGGTAGTTGTAGTCCTGTGTACCTAGATAGTGGATATATACAGGTAGTTGTAGTCCTGCATACCTAGATAGTGGATATATACAGGTAGTTGTAGTCCTGCATACCTAGATAGTGGATATATATACAGGTAGTTGTAGTCCTGCATACCTAGATAGTGGATATATACAGGTAGTTGTAGTCCTGCAAACCTAGATAGTGGATATACACAGGTAGTTGTAGTCCTGCATAATCATTTTTAATCCTACTTTTGATCGATTTTCGATCATTGGAACACCACAAGCAGGTACTGAATAAAAATGAAATCTCACTGTGATAGGGATATATACAGGTAGTTATAATCAACATAGGGATATATAAAGGTAGTTTTAATCTACATAGAGGTATATATGGTACACAGGTATGTATAATACTGCATATCCAGATAGTGTATATACATAGGTAGTTATAATATTACATACCTAGACAGTGTATATACACAGGTATTTATAATACTGCATACCCTAGACAGTGTATATACACAGGTATTTATAATACTGCATACCCAGATAGGGGATATACACAGGTATTTATAATATATACAGGTAGTTATAAGATAGTAGTATATACACAGGTATTTATAATACTGCATACCGTGACAGTGTATATACATAGGTATTTATAATACTGCATACCAAGATAGTGTATATACATAGGTATTTTAATACTGCATACGTGATATGTATAGTGATAGTATAATATACATAGCTAGTAGTGTATATACACAGGTATTTATAATATTAATACAGATAGTGTATATACACAGGTATTTATAATAACATACCGTGACAGTGTATAAACATAGGTATTTATAATACTACATACCGTGTAGTGTATAAACATAGGTATTTATAATACTGCATACCAAGATAGTGTATATACACAGGTAGTTATAATATTACATAGCATTTAGATAGTGTATATATACAGGTATTTATAATACTGCATACCGAGATAGTGTATATACACAGGTATTTATAATACTGCATACCTAGATAGTGTATATACACAGGTATTTATAATACTGCATACCTAGATAGGGGATATACACAGGTATTTATAATACTGCATACTGTGATAGTGTATATACATAGGTATTTATAATACTGCATACCTAGATAGGGGATATACACAGGTATTTATAATACTGCATATGTAGATAGTGTATATACACAGGTATATATAATACTGCATACCTAGATAGGGGATATACACAGGTATTTATAATACTGCACACCGTGATAGTGTATATACATAGGTATTTATGATACTGCATACATAGATAGGGGATATACACAGGTATTTATAATACTGCATACCTTGATGGGTACACACATAAATAGGTATTTGCAGGGTACTTGGTGCAAAGAAAAATGTAATTGAACATAGTGATCATCTTGAGACAGGTCATAACCTCAAGCTTTTGTTTGGATAATGAGATGGGCAAGATTCCCGTGTGGATGCATCACCTCATCACTACTCACCTCGAGGCACTGAGTACCACTCTCCCCCATTAGTGATGCCACCTTGCTCCCCAAAGTTGTCATCACCGGTCATGTCGCATGCTTTATGGGGCTGACCCATCTTGGTGTGTTCCTTGGCGTAGGACCTGGCCAGATACCTGACACAGACAATGGAGAACATCAGTTACAGAATTCCAGCAGCACTACAACACAGCAAGAGCAGGTCCAGGCCATACCTAATTCTGTTTTCCAACTTGGGTCAGGCAATATGCAACAATCACTCATTCACTCACCAACTTGGTATAATTAAATACATAGTAATATTTTAATGATGACGCTAACAACAATTTGCAAAGGAAATTGATAATGGGAATGAAAGACAAATCTGTAAGATAAATAGTTGTTATGAAGATGTGTATTTTCAGGTCTCATGTAGACAGAAAGGGCCGTATTACCATGCAATGTACACACAACATATTTTACTTATATCCAAACGCGTCAGCTTTATGTAGAAGGTAAGCAGCCCCTAATGATCCATGTAACCCACAAGCATGACAAAGGTTCGCCATGAGAGTGAAGCTGGATTCAAACCCACAATCAGCAGATCTTTCACAGAATTTTAGTGCTTTTCACTAATGTCACACCTTTGTCACCATAGCAACTCATTGTCATGGCAACGCATATACTGACTGACTGACTGAGTTTAGCTTTACGCTGCTTTTAGCAATATTCCAGCAATATCACGGCGGGGGACACCAGAAATGGGCTTAACACATTGTGCCCATGTGGGGAATCAAACCCGGGTCTTCGGCGTGACGAGCCAACGCTTTAACCACTAGGCTACCCATCACTTCTAACGATATACACACCTATAATGATATATGCAGATATAATGATTAATACTGGTTGTAAACAGTCGCTGCACAAACATATCAAAGACAAACCATATGTTATTTCTATTAGATGCAAATGTCGAATTAAGAAAAGAGTATATTCCACAGAAATTATTTGTGTCACCTTACTAGGGAAAACTTATCAGATTTTTATAATCAGAAGACAAATCTATTCATGAAAAACAAGTGTAGAAGTAAGCACAACTCATATACCCCTGCTTCCCACTTCGGGACATGGATATGACTGATATATATATATATACTGGTCAATAGTCTACACTAAGAGGGAACTAAAGGTTATGAACCTAATATATATATATATATATATATATATATGACAAAGAATCAGCAGCTCACAAGACTTTCTCCTTGACCCCACCAAACTTTATAGACATGTTAGATCATAGTTTTGCCATTTACTGATAACATTAATAATTGAACCTAGCATGTATAGCTTCAGAGTTCTGCTCTGGACAAGATAACCATCAAAGACATTTTGCACTAAGTCCATGGAAACAGCAAAAAATAAGATTCTGATAAACTTTAAAATAGCAAAAGGCATATCTATGGGTCATGATTAACTTGCGTGTTAAGTCTGGTGAACCTGGCCTGTAAACTTTAAGGGACATGCTCCAGACAAAGTTTCAGGATGGAAGGACAGACGGAAGGACCGATGGACGGAAGGTCCAATGGAAGGACAGAATGAATGCTATATACACCAGCTACTTTGTAACTTCATACTTTGGGGGTATAATTAGCCCTGTTTATAACACACTTGTTGACATGAAGAAACGTCTGATTTCTTCTGGCAACTAATTTTACAATGTTATGATGCTTTCCACTGTTCGCACTGTCCACACTTTGCCTGTCATTATAACACTACATTAAGGGGCTGAAGGCCTTATGTACAATAAACCATGTTGATCTTGAAGTGATACACAACATCATGCACAAGGAGAATATATACATGAATGATAACTGAGTTTACACCAACAATGTGGTTGATGTACAGTGTGATGACATTACCAATAATTGCTGTGATTACAGATAATGACTATGAAGCCAGTGATGCCGATTTAAGAAAGGAGTATATTCCACAGAAATATTTGGGTGACCCTACAAGGGAAATACTTATAAGAATTTAATCATGAGAAGACTAATCTGTCCATGTAAAATTAGCCCTATTTTTAACACATTCGCTGTGATTAAGGAAGAGTCTGATTTCTTCTGGCAACTAATTTTACAATGTTATGATGCTTTCCACTGTTCGCACTGTCCACACTTTGCCTGTCATTATAACACTACTGTATATGGGCTTGAGGACATATGTACAATAAACCGTCCTGATCTTGATATACACACCTCAAGGTTGCATCATCAGGCGCCTTGGTGTACTCCTGCGGTTTGCCACTGCGGGTAGTGTCGTATGGGTAGTTGGCAACAAGGTCCCCGCCGTGGAGGTTAGCCGACAGGACAAACGGGATCCTTGCTAGCCATTTCATCACAGCACGTGTCTCTGGCTGCAGCTGCAAGGTCAAGGTCAGAAAAAGGTTACATTTTTGTTACATCTGTGTTTAAATTGTTGACAGGAACTAATACGACAGCATATATTTTTGTATAAATGTTACTCATACATGCCTTGCATAAAACAATTTACATGAGACACAGTTTGTGTTCCTTTTCTCATTAACAAGGAGCTACTTTTGGTTTGACATGTCAGGACACTTACATTGGTGACGTTCTTAATTGCAAATTCCACCTTCTCCAGGTGGTTGTTACGGCCCTTGTGTTCTGCCTCATGCTGATACATAATTGAGTTCAGGTCGGGGAAGTTGCGGTTCAGATCCACGCTGTTGTTGTTGGCGCGACCAATAAGCCAGTCAGGATCACCACCCTTCTCCTGGCAACAGGAAACACAGGCAGTAAAGTCTTCAGTGAGCAATGTGTAAAACCTGAGCCAAAGTGAAGGTAAAAATATAAGGTAATGGTTGATTAATGTCCCTATTCCATCCATAAGCACCATGTACCTTGACATCATTGTAGTTCCTGTAGGCCTGCTCCCCACCCCACCCTTCCAAGCACCATGTACCTTGACATCATTGTAGTTCATGTAGGCCTGCTCCCCACCCCACCCTACCCTTCCAAGCACCATGTACCTTGACATCATCGTAGTTCATGTAGGCCTGCTCCCCACCCTACCCTTCCAAGCACCATGTACCTTGACATTGTTGTAGTTCCTGTAGGCTTGATCCCCACCCCACCCTACCCTACCAAGCACCATGTACCTTGACATCATTGTAGTTCATGTAGGCCTGCTCCCCCCCACCCACCCCACCCTTCCAAGCACCATGTACCTTGACATTATTGTAGTTCCTGTAGGCCTGCTCCCCACCCCACCCCTCCTCCAAGCACCATGTACCTTGACATTGTTGTAGTTCCTGTAGGCTTGATCCCCACCCCACCCTATCCTCCAAGCACCATGTACCTTGGCATAATTGTAGTTCCTGTAGGCCTGCTCCCTCACTCCCCCACCCCACCCGCCCTTCCAAGCACCATGTACCTTGACATCATTGTAGTTCATGTAGGCCTGCTCCCCCACCCCACCCTTCCAAGCACCATGTACCTTGGCATAATTGTAGTTCCTGTAGGCCTGCTCCCCACCCCACCCTATCCTCCAAGCACCATGTACCTTGACATTGTTGTAGTTCCTGTAGGCCTGATCCCCACCCCACCCTATCCTCCAAGCACCATGTACCTTGGCATAATTGTAGTTCCTGTAGGCCTGCTCCCCCCCCCACCCCACCCCCCTTCCAAGCACCATGTACCTTGACATCATTGTAGTTCCTGTAGGCCTGCTCCCGCCCCCACCCCACCCCACCCTTCCAAGCACCATGTACCTTGGCATAATTGTAGTTCCTGTAGGCCTGCTCCCCACCCCACCCTATCCTCCAAGCACCATGTACCTTGACATAATTGTAGTTCATGTAGGCCTGCTCCCCACCCCACCCTTCCAAGCACCATGTACCTTGGCATAATTGTAGTTCCTGTAGGCCTGCTCCCCACCCCACCCTATCCTCCAAGCACCATGTACCTTGACATAATTGTAGTTCCTGTAGGCCTGCTCCCCCACCCCACCCTTCCAAGCACCATGTACCTTGACATAATTGTAGTTCATGTAGGCCTGCTCCCCCCACCCCACCCTTCCAAGCACCATGTACCTTGGCATAATTGTAGTTCCTGTAGGCCTGCTCCCCACCCCACCCTATCCTCCAAGCACCATGTACCTTGACATCATTGTAGTTCATGTAGGCCTGCTCCCCCACCCTACCCTACCCTTCCAAGCACCATGTACCTTGGCATAATTGTAGTTCCTGTAGGCCTGCTCCCCACCCCCACCCTATCCTCCAAGCACCATGTACCTTGACATAATTGTAGTTCATGTAGGCCTGCTCCCCACCCCACCCTTCCAAGCACCATGTACCTTGGCATAATTGTAGTTCCTGTAGGCCTGCTCCCCACCCCACCCTATCCTCCAAGCACCATGTACCTTGACATCATTGTAGTTCATGTAGGCCTGCTCCCCACCCCACCCCACCCTTCCAAGCACCATGTACCTTGGCATAATTGTAGTTCCTGTAGGCCTGCTCCCCACCCCACCCTATCCTCCAAGCACCATGTACCTTGACATAATTGTAGTTCATGTAGGCCTGCTCCCCACCCCACCCTTCCAAGCACCATGTACCTTGGCATAATTGTAGTTCCTGTAGGCCTGCTCCCCCACCCCACCCTATCCTCCAAGCACCATGTACCTTGACATCATTGTAGTTCATGTAGGCCTGCTCCCCACCCTACCCTACCCTTCCAAGCACCATGTACCTTGGCATAATTGTAGTTCCTGTAGGCCTGCTCCCCACCCCACCCTATCCTCCAAACACCATGTACCTTGACATCATTGTAGTTCATGTAGGCCTGCTCCCCACCCCACCCTTCCAAGCACCATGTACCTTGGCATAATTGTAGTTCCTGTAGGCCTGCTCCCCACCCCACCCTATCCTCCAAGCACCATGTACCTTGACATCATTGTAGTTCATGTAGGCCTGCTCCCCACCCTACCCTACCCTTCCAAGCACCATGTACCTTGGCATAATTGTAGTTCCTGTAGGCCTGCTCCCCCACCGCACCCTTCCAAGCACCATGTACCTTGACATCATTGTAGTTCATGTAGGCCTGCTCCCCCACCCCACCCTTCCAAGCACCATGTACCTTGGCATAATTGTAGTTCCTGTAGGCCTGCTCCCAGCCATCAGGGTTCATGGATGGCATGATGTGGATGTGTATGCTGTTCACCAGGAAGTGGATTAGCTGATCGTTCTGTTTGTAACCTTCACATAAGAAGTCAATGAGCCTGAGAAGCACCTCCCGCCCCACCACCTCATTACCATGCATGTTGCCGACATACTTGAACTCAGGTTTACCTGAAACAAACATGGCATTCATTAGTTTTATCAAAAAGTTCATTTGAAAGTTGCTTACAAAATCCGTCTCTTGACCTTTCAGGCAGACCAATGCATTGATCCAAATCCTAACTAGTGTAGAGGTACAGAAGGTCACCTTCATTGAAAGACCTAACACACAAGGTAAAAATATAATACTGTAATTGGACCTCACACACAAGGTGAAAATATAATACTGTAATTGGATCTAACACACAAGGTGAAAATATAATACTGTAATTGGATCTAACAGACAAGGTGAAAATATAATACTGTAATTGGATCTAACACACAAGGTGAAAATATAATACTGTAATTGGACCTCACACACAAGGTGAAAATATAATACTGTAATTGGATCTAACACACAAGGTGAAAATATAATACTCTAACACACAAATTGGATCTGTAATTGGACACAAGGTGAAAATATAATACTGTAATTGGATAACTACCACTAACACACAAGGTGAAAATATAATACTGTAATTGGACCTCACACAGAAGGTGAAAATATATATACTGTAATTGGATCTAACACACAAGGTGAAAAATATAATACTGTAATTGGATCTACACAAGGTGAAAATATAACACAAGGTGAAAATATAATACTGTAATTGGATCTAACACACAAGGTGAAAATATAATACTGTAATTGGATCTAACACACAAGGTGAAAATATAATACTGTAATTGGATCTAACACACAAGGTGAAAATAGTTTACTTGTTTCTTACATTCATGAGAAATGTTTGAGACTCTCTCTGTACTGTGAACTGAACTTGTTCTATTCTGCTATGTGACAACACACTCTATAATACTACAGCTGTATGATGTTCTATTCTGCTATGTGACAACACACTCTATAATACTACAGCTGTATGATGTTCTATTCTGCTATGTGACAACACACTCTATAATACTACAGCTGTATGATGTTCTAATCTGCTATGTGACAACACACTCTATAATACTACAGCTGTATGATGTTCTATTCTGCTATGTGACAACACTCTATAATACTACAGCTGTATGATGTTCTATTCTGCTATGTGACAACACACTCTATAATACTACAGCTGTATGATGTTCTATTCTTGCTATGTGACAACACACTCTATAATACTACAGCTGTGATGATGTTCTATTCTGCTATGTGACAACACACTCTATAATACTACAGCTGTATGATGTTCTATTCTGCTATGTGACAACACACTCTATAATACTACAGCTGTATGATGTTCTATTCTGCTATGTGACAACACACTCTATAATACTACAGCTGTATGATGGTCTGTACCAGAACATCCAGAACATCCAGTGTTTATCATCAAGAGCATCAGTGGAACTAGCTGTCTGGGGTGATTAAGATTCTCCTGACATTTGAGAAAATTGTTTCTACCTGGTTCGGTGGAACCACCAATGCAAAAATCTGTTGAATAGCACTTCCTGTGCATGGCTGTTGTTGGTTGTTGCAAATACCATAACAGCAAAGTTGGTAAGCAGGATGTGAAGCCATGGTCATGATGTTATTAACAATGTCAGCTTAGTCAGAGAGGCAACAGTCAGTCTGGCCAGTTTGAGAGGCCACAGTCTGAGAGGTAGTCTGTCTCACACTCCCTGAACCATATTATTTTCCACAATGTTTAGCCCTCCCTGCAATGCTAAAACCCTAAATGAAGCAAGTCTAGATTTCCTCAGGTTCAGGAATCTCTGGTCTTACTGGGGCTCCTTTTTAGTTTAAAATGGATTTAATTGCTATCAAAATTATATGTATTCAGGGACTAAACGTTAGTCTATCTGAGAGGCCACAGGCAGAGAGGCCACAGTAGGTGAAAGCAATATAGTATAGTATTTCCATACCACTACTTACAACAGATAACAAAGCATCCCTTACCACTTATAATAATTAAAACACAATGTAATGAACTTCAAGTGAATAATAACACAATTACATCACAGGTTGACAAAATATTTCAAGCCATATTACAATTTAAAAACTTCAATCCTATTTATACTTTCCCATTATCACTCCAAATAAAATTAAAAGCATGTCCTTTAAATAACAAGTCATCTTAGGGTCAGTACTATTAATTACTATATTTCATCAATCTAACCATAACCTGTTCACCTAAAATAATATATTTTGTGCAGAATTTATACTTTTGGGAGTTGAAAACCCCCCCACAAACATAAAACATTATGAAGCATTTGATTTAATTGTACTTAGGCCAGACCAATTTTATTTCTTGTTTTACAGATTTTTGTCCTCAGAGAAACCTAAAGGCAGGAGGAAAAAAAATTTAAAAAAATCACCAGTCAAAGTAATATTCCTTTTAAATACTAAAAGTATTTTATTTTGGGCAATTTATGAAGTGTATATGGGTCAAAAACAATCAAAACATTTTTTTTTGTAAGTTACACTTTTGGCCAACAAAGACATGAGTATTTTATTTTTTGAGCAGGGAATTTTTTTTTTCTTTTCTTCTTATTTTTGAAATACGACCGGCGGATCTGTAAAACAAGAAATAAAATTGGTCTGGCCTTACTGAAAACTGCAACATATCTCGATACAAATTCTACAATGTAAAACCTTATTTACATATGGAAAGGAAGGCGTTTTAGGATAAAAAAGAAATACTATTTTCAAGACTGTTAGTCAGTAGACATTCTATGGAGCATGGATGGTGTAACATAAACTCTTTCAAAATGAGCAGTTTTACTCTACTTTTTGTTTTACATTTTTGACATTATGGAATCTCAGGCACTGCACTATACTATATAAACCTGAATAGTTTATGCACATGTGAATATGTGAGTTAAAAGTATTTTCATTTTCCATTAAACATACTAGATGCTCCTGATAAGCTGTGAAATCTATTTTCTATGTCACAGGCTTTCTGCTACACTGGACTGAAGCCAGTTAAATGAAACAGTGACAGCTTTTCTACTGAACATTTAATTGGTAGCCCATTCTACAGAATGGAGTTGTGACACATTTGCAACACCCTATGAGAAATGAGAAACAGTGAGAAAAATTTTCCTATATATACCACTTTTATATATGCTACTGTCAGGTGTATTCTTTAACATCTATATTGTAGTGTGCTGTAGGAACATCTTGCACCTGTTGTTGCTATGGTTACAAATAGAAAATGGAGGACAGCTTGTCTAATTCCCCACTCTTGTCACGTCACGTCAGTTAATTCACCAGGAAAGATTGGAAATCAATCAAGACAGCTGGAAACATTTCCAGCTCATCATACATTTATCAAAGAATGAATGATCCTCATTTAATAACAGCCATTCCAAACAAACAGCCACAAAGACAGTGACAGTATAATTAATAACATGTTCAACATCAAATCCTAACACAAATGAAACCAGTTTATAATGGATTAGCCTACAGCATAGCGAAGCGGCGTGTTATACGCCCACATAACCAACACCGCTATTAAACCGCTATTGTAGGAGGACATGGGACCTGGCCGAGTGTGTATTGATTTTCATACATAAAGATGTCCAGCAGGGCACCATGGACACAGACATACAGTGGTCCAACCATCTTCTGAACAATGTCCAGCAAGTGGATAAAGTTATTGATATCCCCAGCAATGGTAAAATTGTCAATACTGATTGACTGTCAAATGTGTGGGATAATTTTCATCCACGATACAAAAACTGTACAAACTTTAGAAATAATTTATCACGAACCTCACTATTTCTGAACAATATTGTTAATCTTCATTACCGATGTATTTAATTCAGAAACTGGTTTCAGATATCATACCCTCTGTTATTATAGCTTACTGTTCACACATCCTAGTACTCATGTACTAGATCTTACTATTCATAAAGCTCATTAATTTCCTATTAGGTTTCATTGATGATACTTCTCATGACGTACATACATAACAACATTGTTAGCAATAGACCTCATTGCTTCACTAGGTTATAGTGTCTATACACTTCCTGCATGTGTACTGTAGAACTGAACTTACTGTTAACATTTCTCCAAGGTTCGATACCAAGTATGTTTAACAGATTTTCTTTCAAATATAACTTTGACAAATGCTACGATAGAAACTTGTTGTTTATTGCTAGATACTGCGACAGAGACAGTTTTCATCCACTCCCTCTCTGCTGAGTTCCACTTCTCAGTTGTTAGTCGTTTGGTCACAAGGAGTGTCACATCAATACGGTGACACACGACACTGTTTGAAGTGTAAATGATGGCAGTGGGAGGTATGATCAATTTCTCCTTTGATGAAACTTACTTATCCATGCTGTGTATTGGAAAGCAAAGTGGCATATCCATCATCACTGAACCATGCATGGTGGGTGATCTTCTTGAGCATAAATAACTTAACAAACATTTCTGCTGAACATCTTTAGTGCACCTTGAGGATATCACATTAGTTTAAAACAGACAAAGCAAAGGAGAAGCAGAGAAACAGTAATTTCCAGGCTAAGGTGTTGCCATTTGAACTTAAATATTTTTACCAACTATCCCAAACTTTGCAAAAAATCTCAAACTATCAAAAGGCACCAGTTCATCATTGAGACCTATCTATGAGCCAACTTTGGTATAGAAATATGCTTTTCAAGGTATACTACGAAAACATCTTGCCCGGACCGAACATAAATATAACATGGTATTATTATTATTATTATTGGATATTTATACAGCGCACATATCCATGCACTTGTGCGCGCTCAAAGGCTGGTATTTTTTCCCTCGATCATTGGATGTCAGTTTCAGCGGCACATCTTATTATCAATCTCAGCTCCCTGGGGATCATACACGTCTTGCTGCCACAAGGCGCACAGAGTTATTGCGGCTTTCCCATCCTTACGAGGTGCCCATTCGCAGCTGGGTGGACTGGGACACATAGTCACAGTACTTTGTCCAAGTTTAATACTGCACGTTGCTGTACCCGCAACTAGGTGTTTGCACGTATTCATGTGGCCACCATCTGGTCATATACCAACGGATTCGTGGGTTCTTTTAAGTGCACAGGGTTGTGTACTGTACACTAGGGTTTGTGACAACACTGAAAGAGTCTGCACACATAGTTGACTCCAAGGTTTTTACACCCGGTCACTAGTGGGCTCGATCCGGCACCTCAAGCGTGCTGGATCACTAGCCTGGCGCCTTAGCCAGCTCGCCCACCATGGCCCTATATATATTGAATTTTATCTTGGACGATCAAATAGATTTCACTTGAAATAACTAATCTATTGCTTTTAAGTAGGGAGAAAAAGATTTTACTAGAAAACAATGCAAGAATGTAATAGAATCTTCCATTTCATACCAATATATATATATATATATATATATATATATATAGACAAAGTCGACCTTTAGGCGACATTTGTACGGCAATGCGACAACTTTTAGGCGACAGCTGTCATGCCCTAAGGATATATTTCTGTCGCCTAAATATCTGCATGTCACAACTATGTTCATTTTCCTTAATAACTATTCCAAACTAGATGGTTGGATAGAGGGTCGATCTCTCAGGACAGCCGGGTGTGCTTCTTTTGTATTTTTATAAAATTTCAGTGCTGTTATTGAAAAAAACAAAAATATCATATATATAACGTCTGCGACCTTTCGGTGACCACGTGGTTTTCTATAAAATTCTCTAACACATGGATATATGTTCAGAAATAAACAATGGAGAAATTATTGTCTAAATATATACTCTTAGGTTTTGTACAGTTTTTTCAAATATACACATCGTCAAGTGTTCAGCATAACATCACTGTTTTATTTCGCCAGTACCTTTGATTTGCCTTCACAGCTCCCTGTCGTCAAAAGCGTGAAAGTTCAAAAGCGGCAGCGTCGAAATGAACACTTAGCTAATAATTCAATAATGTCTGTAGATATTGTGGGAGCTGACAGACAAGACTAATATGCCACCAAGAACCGTTTAAATACTTAAAACATTTCATTCTTCGATCAAAATAACAATGTAATAATCTGTAAATAAATTGAATTCATGTTTCACCACGAAGGCCGTTCCGTTTTGTGTCAAATCGGATCCCCTTTGCTACAGTTTTCAAGCACTACACGAGGTGACTTGGCAGCACAAAGCATTGGGAAATGCATGGTATGTATAAATGTCGGAGTATTTTGTTGAAAACAGCAGCATGTACAATTGTTTTCAAAGCGATGCCTGTCCCATGACACAATCTATTTCAAGATTTCTCAACTGGAAGAAACTGTTTGCTAGTAACTTGATCGCGATTGTGGCGTTTAGAGTATCGCGTTGTTTCTTGATCCTCACCTAGGGTTAGACTATCGCTTAGTGTCTGAATATAATTTTTTATATCAACAAACAAGCGCATTATAAATTGAAAAGGAGCCCGGGGAAAACAGAACTTGAGAAAATCTAGACTTGCTTCATTTAGGGGCCTTTAGCATTGCAGAAAGGGCAAGGCAGTAGGGAAAATAATATTGTGGTTCAGGGGACTGTGACACAGACTACAGGGTACAGTAGTTGGCTATAAGTGAGTCATCATTAGTGAAATTTCCATAGACTTACATGTTAATTAACTGTTGCAAGAATAATTTTCATAAATTGAGTAGAAGTTTGCAAACATCTTGGAAATCATCTTCAGCTCGTGTACATAATTTTCTTTCATCTTTTCATTGATTAGTTATCGAATGACACCTGATTAAGCACCATAAATACAACTTTATTTTTATCTATCCATAGACATGTTAAAACCTGATTGGTATGTCTAATATATTTTGTTTAAGAAGTTGCAGTCTTCTTAATAATCCTCGAGGAAAATTGAAAGGAAATTATGTGTACAAAGCTGGTAGATAAGTGCTGAAAGCAATTCCACCCAAACTAAATGTATGAAAATTATTCTTGCAAGAGTTAATTAACATGAAAATCTATGTGAATTTCACTATTGATGACTCACTTATGGCCAACTACTGTAGATCCACAACCGAAAGAGCTAATCACAGCTGTATGATTTTATGTTCACTCAGTGGGTGAAATTGACCTTTACTTTTAGGTGCATTTCAAAAGGCAAAAAACCCCAAAACATCTCTCATTCTGACCCTGATATTAAGGTTATCAGACTGACTTTTTGCACTGATATATTGTTTTCTTATTTTAAATATATATCTACCAACTAATAGATAAATAAACCACCAAAAACAGTCAATAACCATTACTAATTTCAGGAACTAACCAAATCTGTAAGACTTGATTTCAGTAAAATTACTTATAGGCCAAATGTAGACATAGCATAACACATTACAATCGGTTTTATCACCCACACTGCATATTCTGACCATGGGGTAATACTCATTGACATGGGTTTGCTCAAATAATGAGCTGATAGTGCAGTGTTGAGGAAGACTTGTAGTTATAGTTTCCATAATGGCTCTCCATTTGTTGCTCTTTGCTGTTTCCTCTGATAGCTGAACTACACATTTTATATCAGCTACACATTTCCTAAATTGTTCATGCAAAGGAAATATGCATTTGCTCTCTTGACCATAATGTGTTTCAGTTACATTATTGATATCAAGAGTTTCTAACTTTCAAATATAGCTTTGTGTACTTATGCTTTGAACCCTGCTCCTTTGGGTGTTTATGTGCAGTCTATCTCCTCCACTGGTCTATCAGAGTGAAAATATCAGTGTATAGTGATGAAATGTATATGTTGCACCATTTTCATGCTAATAATAATAATTATCTCCATATGAGTACAAAGATTGTAGCCTACCACCTTATTACCTACAAGTAAAGGCTGTCTGGGTCAAACTTTGTTTGTTTTAGTAACCTGATACATTTTGTGGCTGATTATGACAAGAATTTCTAATTACCAGAAAACACATTTACTGATGCTGAGAGATCCTAAAAGATAAAAACTTTTCTTGCATTTGGCCCAGGACTATAACCATGTCTGTCCACATGCCACTGCCACTCAGCCAGCATAATTATGAGCAATACATCCTCCCACTCACAGGTTACTCAACTGACAACCATAAATGTTGGTTACGTTGTATTTTCTGCACTTGGTCCAAACTTGATATAGTTTCAAATGCTAGAGATTTTCCACTTCACTGGTGCACTTGAATCTGTTAATTCAATATGTGTGCATGAATACAGTCAGAATTCCCTTTTGAGCTTTCATAATTCCATGGCAGCTACTCTTATCTTTGTATGCTTAATGCAGGGACATTTCCTCATTTCAAAGTCTAAATCCTGTACATTGTGTAACATAGGAAAGAGGGTAAATACCAGTGGACAGGATAAGATTAACTGAAAAATCAAGGATGGATCTCACTAAACACATTAAGACATGTTATAACTTATTGGTTGGTCAATAGACCAACTGTTTTCTATGCAGGGATATGTTATTAGTCTTTTATGGTTTTTAAGTTCCCTTAGCAGTCAAATTACATAAAGGGTAATTTTGTTCAAAGCGGTGTTTCTTAAACAAACTATTTCTCTTTTTAAAATGGAGGTGAAGTTTAACATTTCTTTCAGTACAAATTGTAAGAATTAAAGCCTCTTCCTGTTGCTAAAAGTAACCTTTACAAAGCCATAATAACAGTTTCAGAAATGCCTCTTTGATGCATCTATTTTTAGGTAGTGTGCTATTCATCATTGGTCCATCATCGGCTAATAGTTTGCATTGTTGACTAACACCAACATCTCTGAACAGCACTGGGCAGACAGTATTGATATAAATCCATAGAATTGATGATTATTATTATGAATAGTAAATTAAAATAAACCTGAAAGAAATCAACATTTTGTATTACTTGTGAGTTTTACCTTTATGCATGGATGACTAACAAAATCCTGAACATGACTTAGAAGCAACCCATGAATAAAAGACATAACTTTGTATATTGTGTGAGTAAAAGTGAAACTATGATATTATGGGTATTCTTTAATTCCAATCAAATTGACTTGATGGCACAAGTTTTTCCTTTGGTCACCCTTCAACTCAAGATCAAAGTTGACATAGACTGTAAAAAGTCAGGAAAGATCTAGCCTGTCTCATAGTTCCTGAACTGCATTATTTTTACTTCCGTCTATGCCTTTCTGCAATGATAAAGACCTAATTTAAGCAAGTCTAGATTTACTTAGTTTCAGGAATCTCCCATCTCACTGGAGCTCCTTTTCAGTTTAAAAGGATTATTTTGATTCTATCAAAATTATATATATTCAGAGACTAATTGCTAGTCTCGGATGGTCCTATTAGACATGGAAATCCTATCCAATCCAGTTTATGCCTGGTAAGTTAATTTTATTTTACAATGGTTTCTGAATATGAAACATTGTAAATTCATAATGTATGTATGTTGTTAGGGTGATAACTAAATCATGTAGAATTTTAAATACTTTATCAGTTCTGAAGAAAAATATTATTTCTTAAAAGCTCAGTTTTGAATTTAAGTTCATAATCATTTTGAGAATAATATTGTTAACATTTTAATGTTACATAATACAGACAACTATGAGCGGGACCAAGACACGTTGAGCTTGGCAGAGGAGAAATGTGATCTTCAAATTGCAGAATCTGAGGGGAGTCTCAGGCATTCCAAAGTGAGGAAGTGGTAGGTTATGTGATCCAGAGATCAATACCTTCATGTTACTAGATTTAAGTTGTGAATACCAATTTTACAGCTTTGTTAAATTTATTTCTACCTTAACTAGGGATGTCGCGATACATAAGTTTCATGAATCGATCACATTATCACGATACTCATGACATGATTCGATATGTATCATGATACCTATTTTAAGCTGCATTATTGTGTAATATTAGTTACATTTTGAACATTAAATATTTTATATTTTATAAAGCGTCCTTGAAAGATCCACGTTTTCTATTCTCAGAGATTAAAAAGTTCTAATTTCCCATCTTTGTGTATATGAAAATAATCATTTATAACTCTCATAACATAAAAAGCGTGATACAATTGCAAAATGTGAGCGATACATATTAAAAACATGTTTAAATCAATACTTTCAAAGCTAAATGTCGATAGGGTTTTGAATGCATCAATGATTGTATCATCTTAGAAAAGTATCGATGTATGGGTGGCATTCCTAACCTAAACATTGTTCTGTACCTACCTTTTAGAATTCAGCACCACAAACTTGCAATACCCGGATGAAGTAATGCCTCATGAATCTTTGCAATTTGTTTGATCCTTCTCGATGTTAGTACGGTTATCTTGAATGGTTCGTGGTAGCTTGATCAGTACCGAGTGCGGCAATACATGTTTTTAGGTATTATCTCAATACAGGATCTTTTTACTATTCATAAAAAGTATCAAGCAATTCAAAATGGCCAATAAGAGATTAATTAATAGACATGGAATAGCCTTATATACAGATGGTCTGTCTCTGATGAGCATATATGAAAAAATTTAAAGAAAACTGTATATACCTCATAACAAGCAGTTCCAGACAAGTATTGTGGTTCTGATCCTGTAAAATCTTTACAGAAAAATGTGAAATTTTGAAAATTGGCATGAATTTGCTCTTTCTAACATCAATAGAGTAATTTTCAACATTTTGAAGCTTTTCTATTGACTTTTGCATTTGATTGATGTCCAAACATTTGCAATTCAAAAAATTTATCCCTGCAATAATCATATCTTTTATAATAGAGATATCATTTTCACTTTTAGGTTACTATGCATTCATATCTTACCACAGTTTTATAGTAGAGAGCTGATGCTTAATGGAGTGTTTCAGAAGTGCACACAATTCAGGAAAGGATTGGCATTTTTCATTACAGAGTATACAAATTCAACATATTCCCTAGCATTTCCGTTGTTTGTCTCATGTTGTCAAACTCTTCAATCTTCCATCGGATAATCAGATTGTATTAAAGTTCTGACACCATTATGTTCATATCACTTGGAATCGGCTGGGGTGGGGATGGGTGGGTTCTCAATTAAATTTGTTTTGCATAATTGTATCAGGTGTTTAAATGGGTTGTTATCAAATGATTCATGTAATTGTTGATACATTTGCATTAATGTTTTGGTGTCTTTCATACACAGGAAATTCAGCAAAATGAGAACTGAAGACACCTCTATTCCATGATAGCAGATACATTTTATTTGTTTATATCTTTCAGGATTCAGATGTAGTATCTGTGAGAAAGTACTGACATGTAAAGGTGGATATACTGTTCATCAGCAGATGACTTGAAGTCAAAAGGTACCACCAGTTTTTTAGTAGTGTCTTTCTAGATATCAAGATAGTGAACAACAATAACATATATCATGATACAAAAGTCAAGAATGTGTTTATCTCGACTGCTTTATGATATCCCTGGCTAGGTCATTAGTAAATCAATCAAGCTAAATTCCATTGTATGCAACTAGGGATGTGTGGTCTAAAGGTCTGTGTTGATGATGAATAGGATGTATCTTGTTGACCATCGGGCGGCTTCTATATATATATATGTATTAATATTCAGCAGAATGTTTGGTAACACATCATATCTGTTATAATCACAGCCCATTGGGCAACACATCCCATCTATTATTTTTACGTACCTTTGGCCAACACATCCAATCTGTTATTTTACAGACCATTGGGCAACACATATATATTCACATCAGACCTTATCAGAGGACCTTTGGGCAACACATCATATCTGTTATCAGCTGACCTTTGGGCAACACATCATATATTTTCAATAGACCTGTGGGCAACACATCATATAATCAGTAGACCTTAGGGCAACACATCATATATATCAACAGTAGACCTGTGTGCAACACATCTTATATATCACGAGTAGACTTTGGTCAACACATCTTATATATCACCAGTAGACCTGTAGGCAACACATCTTATATATCACCAGTAGACCTTAGGGCAACACATCCTATATATATCACCAGTAGACCTTAAGTCAACACATCATATATGTAACCAGTAGACCTTTTGGGCAACACATCTTATATATCCCAGTAAAACCTTGGGGCAGCACATCATATATATTACCAGTAGACCTTAGGGCAACACATCTTTTATATCACCAGTTGACCTTAGGGCTACACATCTTATGTATTACCAGTAGACCTTAGGGCAACACATCATATATATTACCAGTAGACCTTAGGGCAACACATCTTATGTATTACCAGTAGACCTTAGGGCAACTTAATCATATGTATTACCAGTATACCTTAGGGCAACACATCCTATATATCACCAGTAGACCTTAGGGCAACACATCTTATATATCACTTAGTAGACCTTAGGGCAACACATCTTATATATGACCAGTAGACCTGTGGGCAACGAATCATATGTATTACCAGTATACCTTAGGGCAACACATCATATATATATTACCAGTAGACCCTAGGGCAACACATCTTATATATCACCAGTAGACCTTAGGGCAACACATCTTATATATCACCATTAGACCTTTGGGCAACACATCTTATGTATTACCAGTAGACCTTAGGGCAACACATCATATATATTACCAGTAGACCCCGTTGGCAACACATATATCACCAGTAGACCTTTTTAGGGCAATACATCATATATATTACCAGTAGACCTTTGGGCAACACATCATACAATCAGTAGACCTTTGGCCAACACATCTTATATATCACCAGTAGACCTTAGGGCAACACATCATATATCACCAGTAGACCTTTAGAGCAACACATCTTATGTATCACCAGTAGACCTTATGGCAACACATATTATATACCACCAGTAGACCTTAGGGCAACACATCATATATATTACCAGGAGACCTTAGGGCAACACATCTTATATATCACCAGTAGACCTTAGGGCAACACATCTTATATATCACCAGTAGACCTTAGGGCAACACATCTTATATATCACCAGTAGACCTTAAGACAACACATCTTATATATCACCAGTAGACCTTAGGGCAACACATCATATATATTACCAGTAGACCTTAGGCAACACATGATATATATCACCAGTAGACCTTAGGGCAAGACATCATACAATCAGTTTACCTGTGGTCAATACATGTTATATGTCCCAAGTAGACCTTAGGCAACACATGATATATATCACCAGTAGACCTTAGGGCAACACATCCTATATATCACCAGTAGACCTTAAGTCAACACATCATATATATATGTCACCAGTAGACCTTTGGGCAACACATCTTATATATCCCCAGTAAACCTTGGGGCAGCACATCTTATATATTACCAGTAGACCTTAGGGCAACACATCTTATATATCACCAGTTGACCTTAGGGCAACACATCTTATGTATTACCAGTAGACCTTAGGGCAACACATCATATATATTACCAGTAGACCTTAGGGCAACACATCTTATATATCACCAGTAGACCTGTGGGCAGCATCTAATCATATGTATTACCAGGATACCTTAGGGCAACACATCTCTTATATATCACCAGTAGACCTTAAGGCAACACATCTTATATATCACCATTAGACCTTTGGGCAACACATCTTATGTATTACCAGTAGACCTTAGGGCAACACATCATATATATTACCAGTAGACCGTTGGCAACACATATATCACCAGTAGACCTTAGGGCAACACATCATATATATCACCAGTAGACCTTAGAGCAACACATCTTATATATCACCAGTAGACCTTATGGCAACACATCTTATATATCACCAGTAGACCTTAGGGCAACACATCATATATATTACCAGTAGACCTTAGGGCAACACATCTTATATATCACCAGTAGACCTTAGGGCAACACATCTTATATATCACCATTAGACATTTGGGCAACACATCTTATGTATTACCAGTAGACCTTAGGGCAACACATCATATATATTACCAGTAGACCCGTTGGCAACACACACATATATCACCAGTAGACCTTAGGGCAATACATCATATATATCACCAGTAGACCCTTTGGGCAACACATCTTATATATCACCAGTAGACCTTAGGGCAACACATCATATATATCACCAGTAGACCTTAGGAGCAACACATCTTATATATCACCAGTAGACCTTATGGCAACACATCTTATATACCACCAGTAGACCTTAGGGCAACACATCATATATATTACCAGGAGACCTTAGGGCAACACATCTTATATATCACCAGTAGACCTTAGGGCAACACATCTTATATATCACCAGTAGACCTTAGGGCAACACATCTTATATATCACCAGTAGACCTTAAGACAACACATCTTATATATCACCAGTAGACCTTAGGGCAACACATCATACAATCAGTTTTACCTGTGGTCAATACATGTTATATGTCCCCAGTAGACCTTAGGCAACACATGATATATATCACCAGTAGACCTTAGGGCAAGACATCATACAATCAGTAGAACAGTGGTCAACACATGTTATATGTCCCCAGTAGACCTGTGGGCAACACATCTTATATATCACCAGTAGACCTTAGGGCAACACATCTTATATATCACCAGTAGACCTTAGGGCAATGTATCTTATATATCACCCATAGACCTGAGGGCAACACATCATATATATTACCAGTAGACCTTAGGCAACACATGATATATATCACCAGTAGACCTTAGGGCAAGACATCATACAATCAGTAGACCTGTGGTCAACACATCTTATATGTCCCCAGTAGACCTAAGGGCAACACATCTTATATATCACCAGTAGACCTTAGGGCAACACATCTTATATATCACCAGTAGACCTTAGGGCAACACATCTTATATATCACCAGTAGACCTTAGGGCAACACATCTTATATATCACCAGTAGACCTTAGGGCAACGATCTTATTTATCACCAGTAGACCTTAGGGCAACACATCTTATATATCACCAGGAGACCTTAGGGCAACACATCATATATATCACCAGTAGACCTTAGGGCAACACATCTTATATATCACCAGTAGACCTTAGGGCCTCACACATCTTATATATCACCAGTAGACCTTAGACAACAAACACATCTTATATATCACCAGTAGACCTTAGGGCAACACATCATATATATTACCAGTAGACCTTAGGGCAACACATGATATATATCACCAGTAGACCTTAGGGCAACACATCATACATATCACCAGTAGACAGTGGTCAACACATGTTATATATCCCCAGTAGACCTGTGGGCAACACATCTTATATATCACCAGTAGACCTTAGGGCAACATCATCTTATATATCACCAGTAGACCTTAGGGCAATGTAACATCTTATATATCACCACATAGACCTGAGGGCAACACATAATATATATTACCAGTAGACCTTAGGCAAAACACATGATATATATATCACCAGTAGACATTAGGGGCAACACATCATATAATACCAGTAGACCTGTGGTCAACACATCTTATATATCTCCCAGTAGACCTAAGGGCAACGCACATCTTATATATCACCAGTAGACCTTAGGGCCTTACATCTCTATATCACCAGTAGGACTTAGGGCAACACATCTTATATATCACCAGTAGACCTTAGGGCAAACACATCTTATATATCACCAGTAGACCTTAGGGCAACACATCTTATTTATCACCAGTAGACCTTAGGGCAACACATCTTATATATCACCAGGAGACCTTAGGGCAAACACATACATCATATATATTACCAGTAGACCTTAGGGCAACACATCTTATATATCACCAGTAGACCTTAGGGCAACACATTATATATCACCAGTAGACCTGTGGGCAACATTTAATCATATGTATTACCAGTAGACCTTAGGGCAACACATCTTATATATCACCAGTAGACCTTAGGGCAATGTATCTTATATATCACCCATAGACCTGAGGGCAACACATAATATACATTACCAGCAGACCTTAGGGCAACACATGATATATATCACCAGTAGACATTAGGGCAAGACATCATACAATCCAGTAGACCTGTGGTCAACACATCTTATATGTCCCCAGTAGACCCAAGGGCAACGCATCTTATATATCACCAGCAGACCTTAGGGCAACACATCCTATATATCACCAGTAGGACTTAGGGCAACACATCTTATATATCACCAGTAGACCTATATGGCAACACATCTTATATATCACCAGTAGACCTTAGGGCAACGCATCTTATTTATCACCAGTAGACCTTAGGGCAACACATCTTATATATCACCAGTAGACCTTAGGGCAACACATCATATATATCACCAGTA